AGCTTGAAAGAAACTAAGGATAGATTATCCAAACTGGAGGACAGTTTTGCAGTTTGGGAGTATGAAAAGGAAAATGTTTTAAAAATAACAGGAAACAAGTAATAACAATACAAAGGCTAGAAGATGACAAAAGGATCTATAACTTAAGAATAAAGGATGTGAATGAAGAAGCTGGGGTACAAAGGGACTAGAAAGGTTATTCACAGAAATAATTAAGGAAAGCTTCCCAAACATAGGAAAAGGAAATGATATTCTGATATATGAAGCATACAGAACTCCAGCCACCTACAACCAAAACAGGGCTACACCCAGGCATCTAATAATCATGATTCCAGAAATTCAATATAAGAAAAGAATATTAAAAGCTGTTAGAGACAAGAAACAGATCATCTATAAAAGAAGGCCCATCAGAATAACAGCAGACTTCTCGACACAAACCATCAAGTCAAGAAGAGCCTGGAGCGAAATATTCCAAGCCCTGAAAGAAAATAACCTCCATCCCAGATTGATATACCCTGCTAAACTGTGTCTAGAAATTAATGGAGAAACAAGATGCTTCCAAGACAAAGAGGAACTTGGGAAATTCGCAATCACCAATCCAACTCTACAAAGAATACTGCAGGGCATTCTAGAGAGAGAGAAAAGTACTAGGATTCCAGGAACAGTGGCAGAGAGGTCTCAATAAATGGAGCAGAAAACAGAATGAAGAAGATAAGCAGACAACTGATGGCAAAAAATGAACATAACAGAAATGAGGCAGAGAAGATTTTATTCAAAACTGATATGATGGATAGTAAAAGTCTGAGAGTATAGGCAACTACACTGAAGATGACAAGACCCTAAGATACACATTTTGGTTGATAACCGCCAGTTTTTGAAGTTCTATACTATATACAAAGTTGTTTTTATTAATACTGTTATGTACTGATATATTCAATTATACTATGTCTGATGATATAGCCAATTCTATTGGAGATAACAAGAGACAACACAGGACCCATGGTAGAACTCTTTGTACAATGGTCTTATATGTTTATTTCATTTCATGTTTTTATAGAAATGTTTTGTTTTGCCTTGCTTTGTTTTATTTCTCCCTCTAATGTAGAAAGGATAGAAATACATGTTAAGATTCACGTATGTGTAGAATCTATAAACAGTTTATGAGAACTGATCTTATGACATATGATGAAATGAACAGATACTTTGAAGAGTCACTAAAATACCCAGTGCTGATCCTGGAGTGTCATAATGTGAAACCCAGCAATAGTATTATTCTTTGTTCAGAGTGATATTAGCCTGCTTGAGTTTATTCAATCTCAACATAATTGAAAAGATGGATAATTGCATGTATGTTTAAGTGTATAGGATTGAAAACCATATTTCTAAGTTTTTGTTGGATAGTTGAACAGAACTGGTTGCAATCTGTTTGAATCCCCACTTTATACGCTCCACTTTAGTATCTTGAATAACTATTTGTAAGAAGGCAATCTGTAATCAACTAATGATTTATTTTTTTCTTTGAAATTATGTATTATTTCTACCTGTTTTCTGTTTTATTTAGTCTTTCTTTAAATTTAAAAAAAAAAGACACTACAGTACCCAGTGCTGATTGTGGAGTGTCATGATGTGAAATCCAACATTCTTTGTTCAGAATCATTTTAACCTGCTTTAGTTTGTTTAATCTAAACATAAATAAAAATATGGATAACTACATGTATGTTTAAGTGTATAGGATTGACAACCATGTTACTAAGTTTTTGTTGGACAGTTGAACAGAACTGTTTGCAGTCTCACTGTTTGAATTCCCACTTTATTATATGTTCCATTTTTGTATCCTGAACAACTATTTGTAAGAGGACAGTATATAAACATCAACTAGTGATTTCTTACTAATTATTTTTTTCTCTGAACATATGTATTATTTCTATTTTGTTTTGTTTAGTCTTTCTTTAAATAAAATTTAAAAGAATTCTATATATTTTATCTTTTAGCAGATTGTTTCTGTTTTAACATTTAGATCTTTTGATCCATTTTGATTTTAGCTTAGTACATGGTGAGACATACAGGTCCAACCTCAATCTTCTACATGTGGATATCCAATTTTCCAAGCACCATTTATTAAAGAGGATATCTTTCTTCAGTGTATGTTTTTGTCCCTTGTGCCAAAGATTATACAGCTGAATGTGCCTGAGTTGTTTCTGCTTCTTTCATTCTGTTCCATTATCCATATGCCTACTTTTATGCCAGTACCAGGTTGTTTTTATCACAGTAGCTTTGTAGTATAACCAAATCTGGAACTGTGATGCTTTCTGTTTTGCTTTTGTTATCCAGGATTGCTTTTGCATTCAGGTGAATATCCTGAGTAAGATCTCTAAACAGTATTCTGGCCAAGAAGGCATAATCTTAACCTGGTATCTTAGTTACTTTCTCATTGATTGGACAAAACACCTGACACCCACAAGTTAAAGGAAGAAAGGTTTATTTTAGTTCATAGTTCCTAAAGGTTTTAGTCCCTAGTCAGCTGGCTCCAAGGCAGGGTGGCATGGCAGAGGAGAAAGAGCTCGTAGCAAGGCAGGAAGGAGCATGAAGTCAAGGGAGGAGGAAGGACAAATACAGACACCCTTCTAGGCCACACCCACAGTGGCCCACCTCTTCCCATCAGGCTTCATCTCCTAATATCACTTAGCTATAAACCTGTCAGTGGATTAATCAAGTATCACACACCCATGATCCAGTCACCTCCCCGAAGCCTCGCCTATGAGCACACAAGGCTTTGCAGAGACATCTAGATATAATCCATTAACACACAGTCACAAAGTATATCAAACAAAGAAAATGAAGAATGCCTTTTAAAAATAAAAACAAAAGCGTGCTACATTCTTCAAAAATGTTATAACAAGGGGGATAAAAGGCTACCAACACATTCCAGATTAATGAAGACTGAGGAAATAACACCAAAAACTAATTTCTGCCGTAAAAGATGAAAGATATTACTAAGAACATTATTAGGCCAACTGACAAAAAATGGAATATAGATGGTAAATTTGACTAAAAATATGGTTTCCGAATAAATTCGTGAAGTTTTGAGTATACTGTGGCATTTACAGATATACGGGAGAAAATGGAGAAAATATTAACAAGAGTTTGCATAAAGGACATACAGATATTCTCCATAGTATTTTATTTTGAAACTTTTTGTAAGTTTTAAATAATTTCCAAAGCAAGGTTAATTTTTGAAAATCAGACCAGGACACTGGATCTTATCCCCTCACAAAAGATCTCTCACTCTCAATCTCTCTCCCCACCTCTGCCCTCCCTCTCTCTCTGTAGGAACAATTAGGTAAGAGTAGGCAGCATTGGGCATGACCTGGGTGGCTACTTTAATGGAGACAGCCATGTTTTTTATTCTTGACATGATGTACTTGAGGAGGACCTTGTGAGACCTTTGCAAACTTTTGCTATGTGCTCATAGAGCCTGTGAACCTTGGCTCACCCCAGAAACAAAGTCTAAGACCCTCACAGTACCAATCAGTGAATCAGTTATTTTTAGAAAATCAGTTTACCCCTGCAAGAATGGGCCAGGCAAAGACAACAGGCTGAGCAGCTCATCTGCTTCTTCCTGCCTTACCGCCCGCTGTTTGGCAGTCTCCACTCCAGCAATACTATAATTAAAACTCTGCTTCATATTACTTTTGTTTTCTAAGTTCTTCATTTTGTGCCAGAGGGTTCTTCAGTTTCGAGTCAGCCTCTTTCCCTCCTGCATTCTCAGCAGGGTGAAGGGACAGAACCAGCAAAGCGGAGGCTCTCTTCTGGAGAAGATCCTTTGCCTTCCAGATCTCGGGCTTGCCACACCATCTCCATTCCTTTTCCTCCATCAGACCATTCTAAGCTTACAAATCTGTTCTCCCATCTCCAAAACAAAGATGCAAATGAAGCATCTCTCGATCCACAGATACTCCAAACTTCCTAAAAATGTATCTGCTCACATGGCCACATTTTATCCCATTTGTCCTCAACTCAGTCCAGCCTGTCTGCACCCACACTGTGCACTGAACCCATTCGTGTTGAAGTCACCAAACATCCCAGGCCGTCAGCTCCTACGGACGCTCCTCAGTTATGTTACCTGACCTTTTGGCAGCATTTGGTAATGCTGATAATACTCTCTTCATTGAAAGACCCCTTCTCTTGGCTTTGGATCAGGCGCTCTGCTCCCACATCCCTGCCAGTCCTGTCTCCTCTGCTTTTCCTCACCTTCCACCTGACACCTTAGCTGCAGCGCTTAGGGCTGTCAGGTCTCTTCCTCTCTCCACGTGATCTTATCCGTTCCATGAGTTTAAAAACCATCTACACATGCTGATGATTCCCAAGTGTCTGTCTTTAGCATAAAGCTTTTCTCTGAATTCCATCTTCACACGAATCAGTAAACTGCCTTGACATCATGGATTGAAATTTCTAATTTAACAAATTCAAGTTGGAATTCTTGGTCTTCCCCAACTCCTTACACCCCTACCAGTCTTCCATTTCAGTAAGTGTTACTTCCATTCATCCAGCTGCTCATGTCACAAAACCCCAAGTGATTCTCTGACTGCTCAAATTGTGTGTGACGTTTCTGTCTATAAGTTTTTTGTTTGTTTTGCTTTTGTGTCTTTTTGAGACAAGGTCTCACTATGCAGTTCAGGCAGCCTTGAGCTCATTTTGTAGCCCAGGATGGTCTTGCAATAATGCTGCTGCCTCAGCCTCTCGAATGCTGGGATTACAGGTGTGCGCCACCACACCTAGCTATGTTTTTCAACAATTTAAAATTTCCTATTATAAATACATCAAACTTATTAACCAAAATTAAAAGAACAAAAATTTTTCTTTTGAATAACAAGACACAAAACAAAGATATGCTGAAACATAATGCACAGTCCCTATGTTTTTAATTATAGTGTTCCAATTTCAGTTTGGGGATTGTCTAAATAAGGGTAATAAAAAACCAGTATTAGCTTTCATATTACCAGAAGTGTTGGGATTTATTGAAGACATCAAAGAATCTGCTTCTATCTAGAAGAAAGGAAAGAATAGTAAGATGTAAGTTTTTTGAATGTTTTCAAAGCACAAGTTCTTAATTCCTAGCATGAAGGAAGAGATGTATTTTATAAGAAAACAATTTTACTGAACTTTATTGAACCCAGCAGATAGGTAAAGTCACTGAACAACTTTAATACTAATTTTACTTGTCCATCAAGATCTGTAAAATAGGGGCTGGGGATTTAGCTCAGGGGCATAAGCGCCTGCCTTGCAAGCAGGCAGTCGTGAGTTCGATCCCTGGTACTGATTAAAAAAAAAAATCTGTAAAATACCAGATAACAATCTGCTATAAATTCTAATGATGCACCCCCTAAACTTTATTCCATTGACCAACACATAAAAGCAATTTGGCTGTCCCATAAATGTATCCTTTTTGCTTTAGACAAAAGCAAGCAATTGTTACAACGGACTCTTCAGCTTTATAAAACTTTTTCTTGATTGTACCAATAACACGACAAAACGAAAAACATAAAAAATGATTAAAAAATATTTTTAAAAGCCATCCAATGAAAAGACTGTTAACATTTTGGTCTAGTCTAGCTTATTATTTCCTATGTAAATTTACAACATTTGAAAAGTAACAATACTTATAGTAATTTTAATCAAAATGTATCACAATTTATAACATACATAAAGTTCAAGGACCTGCTTTCACTAAAACAAGCATTTCCCCCATTATTACACAAGCTTTATAAACATTAGAGAATTAGAACTCAGACAGGATCTGACACCTTCTCTACTGTCAGTCTTAGATTCCAAGCACTTTCCTGGTTCCTTTTGTCTTTCCCAATGATTCCCACTGCATCCTTTCTGGAGTCCCCCGTCTTCCCTTAAATGCTGGCTTCCTTAATGTTCTTTCCTCAAACTACTGCTCTTCATACTATGGTAATGCCATTCAGTCTCCTGTTTTGAGCTTGAAAAATGAGACATCCTAAATCCACCTCAAGCCAAATTTCACTTATAAGCAAGGCAGCAAAGTCCAAGACTTTCACCACCCGGCACAGTATCTGATGAGCAAAGGTACCTGGATTGCCCACAGCCGCCACAAACTCAACCTGCTCCAATCTGAACTCGAGGCCCCTGAACCTGATCTCTCTCAGTGCTCTCACTTGGTGACACCACAATCCCTCCAGTCTTGGGGGTCCTGCCACTCATTTAACAGCACCACATCCAGTCAATCACTAGGGCATAACTTGGCCCAACACCCACAAAGTGTTCCTAGACACTTCTTTAACAATAGGCTAGCTTAAGTCTATGTACCCAGATTCCTGTTATAGCTACCTCTAGGATTAGGTTCTCATTCTTGTCTTTTCTCTTGTATGTCTGTCTATACTAAAGGGTAAATTCATTCAGAGTAGGATCTGTGTTTCATTTATGTTTGTATCTCTAATAACTACCAAAAGCAAATGTCCCTTTTAGCAAACAAGAAAACTTAATACACTTCATTTTTTAAACAATTGCAGGGATCTGTGATTTATTTTATATCATTTACAACATAGCATTAAATAACCATAACACAGTAACATTTCATAGTAACATTTTTAAATATACATTTTCTATGATAGAAATGTTTGAACATTTTAAACATTACCTTAATTAACTGACATAAAGTCAGCATCCCATTTGAATTCAAAAGTAGTATTTAAAAATTAAGCCTCAACCTTCAACCTAATAAAAAATTTAAAATCTGTTCTATTTCATGGACAGTATATAGTGTCAACTATTTAATAAGTTTATTGTATAAATGACTGAGAAATATACAGTACTGCTATGTTAGTACTTTATTGTTCAGTGACCCAAAGTCAGTTAAATATCTCATTTACCAGAAAATAAAATTCAAAACCTTAACCCAGTATGAAAAGCAAAACTTAAATTTCATGGTGCATATACACAGTATGTTACCACATTATCGTGTGTCATTAAATTCCTGGCATTATTTTTTACAAACACAAAATGAGACAAAAAGTGAACCCACATTAAACACCATGCTTCAAAGGCAGAGTCTTCTCAGCTGATTTGCTTTAGAATTACAGCCACAGTGATTTCAGGTTAGCAGGAAAGTTGCGATTTTGGAGAGCCAGCCCTGATTACTTCTCTGAGCACAGTAACCAGCCTTTCAGCAACTCAGTATGTCTGAAGCTACATTAGCTACTCATGCAAGCTAACTGGATCAACAGGACACAATGACTTTAACGCTGTGAAGCACTTAAGCACATGGAAGGGTGCAGAAATGGAAAAACAGAGTCTCTTCACAGCATTTGTAAGCTGGCAGAAACTCTACTCACGCATAAGGAGCAGCTGGGCCATAAATATCCACCAAACTCTTTGGTCTAAGAAAGGAAGACATTCCAGGCAGATCCCTGGGACTTCCTTTTGCTTAATGCTTACAGTTTAATTTCTTGAAGGTGGATGATATCTTGACTCTAATTAGCTCTAGCTCAGCAGCTTAACAAGAAGGGATCCATCTCAAGAATGCAAAGTACCACGCAAGCAAAATAGCACAAAGACAGGGCTGAGCAGAAAACTTGTTAGACAGAAGTAAGACTCACTGAAATTCAGCTCAAATGTTATCACTGGTGAACAGGTACAAACTTTTCGGCAGAGCAACACTCAAAATACTTCAAATGCACATATCCCGGGACCTGTTATACATTTAGGAATTTATTCCAAAAACATATCCATAAAGACATAATTCTCTGTAAGTCTATGTTTTTTGTTTTTGTTGTTATTTGATATAGGATCTTGCCTTGTAGTGCAGGCTGACCTTGAACTATTATCCTCCTGCTGGGATTACAGCCATAGGCCACAATCCCCAGCTTGTATATGTGTTTAGTTAAAAAAGAACATTCATTACAGCAATGTTTGTGCAAATGAAAACTAATAGAAATAACAACAAAGGAAATGCTATACAACCCTTTTTAAAAATGTATCAGTGGTGTGTGCTTGCAGGTTAATGTATTTTTAAGTGTAAAAGGAAGTTAAAAAGGCATTAACATGCTCCTAATGTTTGCATATACATGTTTGTCATGCATGGGATTTTTTTAGAAGCATATATAAGAAACTGACTAATAACAGTAACCCCTGGAACTGGGACCTTGTAGTAAGAAAGGAATTTTTTGACAATGTAAATGTATGATGTGTGTCTGTGTGTTGCTAGCAATTAAATACATGGCCTTGCACATGCGAGGCAAGCACTCTTAACACTGAGCTATATTTCCAGCCCCTTTTTATTTTACTTTTATTTTGAGATAGGCTCTTACTAAGTTGCCCAGGCTGGAAACATGGAATATTCCTATCTCAGCCTCCTGAATACTGCATTACTTTTATAATTTAAACACAGAATTTTTTTTGGCAGCACTAGCACTAAATCCAGGGCCTTCATACTAAGCTACATCCCACCCCTTTTAATTTAGAGAAAAGGTCTATGTTCCTTTTATGGTTGATACATTGTGTCAACTTGAGAAGTTTAGAAGCCTAAGAGAGTCAACAAGGAGTCAGGATTCTTACCTGGTAAATATCCTCAGCCTGTGTAAGCAGGCACAGAGATGGTATGAGTACTATATCCAGCTAAGGGGGTGCTACCCTGCTTACCATAAAGGGAGAAGAGGTTTGTTCTTCCCCTTTCTGCTCTGGCTGCTGCCTTGAATGTTGCCCTGGTGCTGTGGCACCCTGCCTTAGAGCCAATTGATTATGGACTGAAATCTCCACATTGAGCTAAATAAACCTTTCCTTGCTTTATTTTGGGTATTGGGTATTTTGTCCCAGCAATGAGAGCAAAGTAACCAAGTCACTCCCTAAATTGCCCAGGCTGGGCTTGATCTTCCTCCTTCAGTCCCAGAGTGCTGAAGTTTAACAGGCTCACGCTACCACGCCTAGTTTATCTCCAGCTCTTTTAAATTTTTTTGAAAATTTACTTTTTTTAAATTTTGAGACAAAGTCTTGCTAAATCACCCAGTTGCCCAGGTTGGGTTCAAACTGGCAATCTTCCTGTCTCAGCCTTGTACTCTTGGGATTACAGGTGTGTATCACAACTTTTACATTTAAAGGGGAGAGACTAAAGGTCTTTCTCCCAGGTGAATTACTCCCGTTAACAGCCCCTCCCCCCTCTTGAAAACGCTCTAACACCTTAAATATATTATAGTTATTAGCAGCTTGATGGAGACTCATTTCCTGAGTTTAAGTGAGATAGATTTTAATTCATCTCTGAGTTGGATCCTTATCAAAAAAAGTAAAATCTAGCACTGGTGAACTCATAATTGCTTATAAATCAGAAATTTGTCTTACAAACATCTTAAACTACCCCTCGAAACTTTTCTTAGGACTCATTCGAATTATTATCTATCCCATTCCCAAATATATAAGAAAGCAAGCTCTACCTTGGAGGGCTTGTAACCAAACAGCATTACGATAGCAATCTTAAAGTCCTCTCTGCTTAGGTAGCCTTTATTATCTGCATCGCAGGCTTTAAATACCTAAAGAATATTAAATATCTTCAGTTAGTAAGACACAAACTATGTTAAATTTGAACTTCAAAACATCTAAAACGCAGCACAGTAGAGGGACTCTGAAAAGAGTTTTATTGTCCTAATTTTAATTCAAGAGAAACTTAATGAAGACTAAAATCCACCCCACAAAATTCAAGAGAAAGTTTAAGACAATTCAAGAGAAACTTCAGTGAAGAGTAAAATCCACCCCACAAAAAATTGCCAAAGACTTAATCCCTAGGCTGATAATTCTACCATAACTCAGTCGAGTAATTAGGAAAATGAGGCAAAAGCGCAAGCTTTGAACAGAGTGTGAAGAGACGTAAATTCGAGATTATTAATAAACTATGGAAGGGAGGAGGGGCTTGGAAGCAGTCCGAACACCAGACTGGGAGCAGAAGTCTTGCAGTTCTAGGCCTGGTCAATAACCATGCCCCTTTTTTGGGCCGCTCAGCACTCTTTTATACCACCGGACTGAAACGAAACCCAGGAACACAGGGGCCTGGAGCCACCTGGACACCTACTTCCACCCACTTCCTGTGTTCCAAGGGGCTGGCTTCCCGTGTCCGCGAACAGAATCCAGCTTTAGAGAGAGACATCGCCACAGCCACTACCAATTCTTCAATTAGCTGGTCTAAACTCCTCTAGTGATCACGCCCACCACGCCTCAGGAAGCCGAAGTTCGCCGCGCAACTCCAACGTCTCCACCCATTGGACGGCCTGCGAGCCACTGGCGTTGATCCTGCAGTATTATTGGTCAGGAGCTTTGTTTAACAACTTCCTTGTGGACCAGTCTGGGGCCGGAGATTTCTCAGGTCCGCCCTCAGCACTCGGTTCCGCCCCCAGTTCTTGGCTCCGCCCCCTGTCTACAGCCCCTTAACTCCTAGTGCACCTCAGGGCACTCAGTGTATCAACTACTCTACATCTTGGCTCTTACGTTCTTCTCCAATATATCTGTAAGAGTTTTCCCTACCAACCTTACAATAATTATTTTGATCTGTGGCTAGGCTAGACGTCCGGAAAGACACAAAATGAGAACAAAACACAAAAAGAACCGAACAAGCCAAGCCAAGAGTAGGATTCACCTTTAAATCTGAATGCCATTGGTATCAAACTACTACGTTTGTTCTTGTTTCTGCCGGTTTAAAACTTATGTTTGTGTCCTCCGGAAAACTTCAACGTCTACCGCAGTGCCTGGCACAAAGGAGCCCTGCAATAAAATAAGCAAACTAAAGGAGCTGTCAGGACGTACCCACTGACCCACACTATGCAGCGCTCTGAACCTGATGTCTGGCTGGAGAAGACTCAAGGAATAAATACATAGATAAACGTCATGAGACCCAAGTTCCATAGCAAAATTCGTATTAAAAGCGAGGACTATGGGAGAGTTCCGCTTTCCAGATGGGTTTATCTGAGGTCCTTCTATTCTTTTGGCATTCGGTAAGGTTAAAAAACGTGTGTGTGTGTCCGCGCGCGCGCACACACACACACACACACACACACACACACACAAGTTTCAAGGAAGAAACAGACATTCACGGTTTTCAGTCTGGCAGGATCTCGTTTAACATTTTATTTCACAGTACGATTAAAAGTCCGCGCTGCGGGACCCAGACCAACCCCTAACCCGCAGCTCATTCTCATTTACCGAGAGACGCCACCGCCAATACCAATTCTTGAATTGGTGGCTCTGCAACTGTATCAGCAAACGCCGCCTGGGGCTTCGAATTGGGAGCTTGAAGCTGTCCTTGAAAATACCCATAAAGGGGATGAGTTTCACTAATTAACTGAGAAAAATGCTAGAGAACACCTTTCTGTTTCTCCCCTTTTGTAGAAGTCTCCAGGTCAGCCTTCACTACCCCACCTCATCCTGGCGCGCCAGAGAACGCACTCAGGCATCACTCTGGACAGGACGGGCTTTAGGACCCACAAGCAGGCCTTTGTGGAGAGGAAGCGGCGCGCGCCGCAGCCCGGGGTGGGATTTGAACGCTGCGCATGCGCAGACGTGGCGCTGGGCGGGATCTAGGCGGCGGCGGACTCTGAGAGCCCAGGTGAGTGTCACGGTGGCGGATGTGGACTTGGCGCTGGTCGCAGCTGTGGTGGCCACGGCTCGCTGGGCGCGGGAGTCCGCCGGTGTCGTGGGTGGCCTCCTAAGCTGGAGGCAGATCGCGAGGCAGCAATGCAGCCTGGGGTTGGGGCGGCACTGAGCAGGGTCCCCTCGCTCCCGGGCCTCGGTTTCTGCAATGATCGCATCGTTTAGGGGTTGCGCAGCCAGACACGCGACTCCGGCCCTAAGGGTGGGCTGCAAGGCCTGCAGCCGCGCTTTGGATGTGACTGTCTCGCACCGCCAGTCGCAGTAGCTCATTTTGAGCGCTCATCCCAAGCCAGATCCTGGACCTTTCTGATAGTCCCCTTGTGTCCCGTTATGCGCGTGCATTGAGTTTGTACCTGGGAAAGTTCCTGGCCCGAATGAGTAATCAGAAGAGTTGGCAGCAGACACCTCTTCCTCTGCAAAAATCAGCCCGCTTCGTCCCGTGCTCTCTGCTTTTCGCACCCTCGCAGCTCCGCAGGAGCCTTGTCCTGGTCGCTTTCGGTCCCAAACCATTTCCCCCACAGAGTTGTAGCAACCGTAATAGTCCCAACGAGATAAAGTGGGCCAAGGACTTCCCCTTATTAAAATCCTCAGTGGGATGCCAGCCCTTGTTTTTGGCAGATGGGATTGCTTCTACCTGAAATGCTTTTCACCCCATCTTTTAGTCTACTAGTTCTTTTTCACGCCTCACCCATTACTTCAGAGATTATTCCAGAGGAAGCTAGGTCATCCTTTTAAAATGCAATGAGTATCAGTCATCTTGAGTTTTTCAAAATAATATTTAATCTGTATCTTCCACCCTAAAATTGTTTTTCTAGTGCAAAAACTGTACATCTTTAACTCCTTATTCCCAGCACTTAATACCTAGTAGCTACTCATTAAATATATGTTGAGAGGATGAAGACTGGAAGAAGAGCGTGGCCCCCCATTTTACTGATGAGAAAACTAAGGCCTAACAGTTAGCTCACTTTCAGTTAGTACCTAGTTTTGACTCAGTTTTACTTAGGGGCCCATGTTTGCCCTTTGTTGGCTCCCTGGCTTCAACCCAACAACCTGGCACCCAGACCCACCTGAGGGTCTGAAATCTGAGAAGGAGCAGGGGGGGCGGGTGCAGACTTTGTCTCAGCTGATTCTGGTGAGGGGTGGGGAGAGGAAGCATTTGTAGGGCTAAATGGCTATGGGTTTGGCTTGTGGAATTTAAGATTAAACCCATTGAGCTGTATTCCCAGCCCCTTTTCATTTTATTTTTTATTTTAAAGTCCTTAATGAAAGCTCTGACAGTGCTCAGAGCTGGCATTTGGTAGGGGAAATAGAACTTCATCTTCACACAATATTGGCCAAATTGCATTCACTCACCTGTCTTTCTCTCCACTTTTTGTTTTTGTTCTCTTAACACATATGCTGTTGTTTAACCTAATGTTTTTATTTAGATCGAGTTGCTCTTTTGCATAAATACGGTCTTTTTAAAAGTACACTTTATTTTGTTATTGTGAGTAATGGAGCCACAAGCTGCCGTCTGCTGACAGTAAACAAAAGTGTTACAGATGCTTGCAGAGGAATCAGAAGCCTGCTGTTTGTTCAAAAACAAGATTAAAGCATTTCTACAACACTACAGCATTGCCTTGATTTAAGCAAAGACAGTGAATTGAAATGGGCAAGGGAGTTACTTTCATAATGTGATGGTAGTAAGTATCAGATTGCAGGCACCTCTGTCATGAGAGCTGTGCTGCCCTGAGTAAGTATGTGCATGCAAGTCACCCCACCTGTACTGTAATGCTCTCAGCACTACTTAACTAAAAATGTGACTGCCCAGGAGACAGTAAACAACTGGAAGAAAACTCTTGGGATCTACACCTGGCAAACTGCATCAGATATAAGTGCTGTGGCATGCTTGGAACCTGATCCTGACAGTGAAGTAAAATTCTGATGCTGGTGACCACATCCGGTTCTCCAAAGTTAGTCAGTTCCTGGTTGATCTTGGCCTTTACCAACAGCTCTTTTACAGACAAGAGTCTTGATTGCCTGTGGCTGGGCTAGGTGGAGCACACCTGTTCTCCCAGCACTTGGAAGGCTGACACAGGAGGATCCCTCAGAGTTCCAGGCCAGCCTTGGCTACATAATGAGTTCAAAGTCATTCTGGAATGCATAGAGCAACACTGTCTCAAAAATATATATAAATAACCTGCTAGACTTAATGATACACAATTTTATTGGTGTATTTGCAAGAGTTCTTTATGTTAGCTTAACAACTCAGAATTTTTAGTGTTAGCAGGCTCCAAGCTTCAACTATGAATACATCAGAGCCAGAAAAGGAGCTCTGTTCTCTAGGAAATGCCTTTTTCAAACTTTCATTGTTGTTATTGTTGTCTTTGTTGTCAGGAACCCCAACCTCCATAAGGTTCTAGAAAATACAGATAAAATTGAAAACTTTAGTCACTAATGACTTTATCCACAGAGTTTTCTCTGGGTATTAGCCTTGGGGATTTTGTCTTACTAATACAGGTTAACAGTACCCAGATCTGACTATTAAATATACCATATTTTCCTAAATATACATTTCCATTTTCTAGTGGTTTTGGTTCTCTTGTAAAACACCTAGAATTGTGTATGTTTAGGGTTTCTTTGGCTCCTACCTTCAGAACAAAGACCAGGGTATACAGGAATGAAGATTTTCAGATTCTTTGTTCTTTTCTATATTATAGAAAAACTACCTATAAATTAGGTTACTATATCTTTAAATTGTAATCACAGGACCCGTCTGCGGTATCACCCAGGGTATGATTTAAAAATATGGTGAAGCTAGGGTGGTGGCACACACTTGAATCCCAGCACCTAGGAGACTGAGACAGAAGAATCACAAGTTTGAGGTCAGCCTGGGCTACATTGTGAGTACAAGGCCAGCCTGCACTATAAAGCAAGAGCCTGTCTCAGAAAACCATAATATATATCCATATAGATATAGATATCATGTATGTTGTGTTTAAATTTTGAAAAATGTATTACAGTAGAAAATACATTGCTATTAGTCCCATTCAAAATATTCCCCCTCGCTACTGAACACACTTACTCCATGGACTTTGCAAAGAGCCAGAAGTCACATGGTGCTAGATTTGGTAAATAAGGTGGGGAAAGTTGTTTCTACCAGTCTGCTTTCCATTGGATTGCACTTGGCAGCAGCATTCAAGATATTTTATCACCCCACCTCACCCCCAAATAAGACCCAGAACAGCTTCAGAAAATGACAAGAACATCTGATAAGTGTATTCAAGACAAGGGTATTTTGAAGGGGATTAATGGTAATACAGCTTTACTGTGGTTTTTTAAACCTTCACCATGTGTTTTGATCACACTTCGTATTCCCTAAGAGGTTATGGGGTTTCTAAAGATTTTGCAAATTATGCAGGCTGTGGCAACACACACCCTACCAAAATCTGATGGACACAGAGATTAGCATGGCTTCTGTGCAAGTATCATACACAAATTTGAGAAAAATTTTCCATATATTTGGGGTAGGGAAAGAAAGATTCTGGTCTCTAGTTGGAAGCTAAACCCTTTCTCCCCAAGCTCTGAGGGCCACTGCTTGCTTTTGAATGGAAAAAGCAATCTAGAGAGAACAGTTGGAGGTGGGGAGTAGTAGCCTGGGATTGCACTCAGGGCCTTGGGCTAGCAAACTACTTGGCCCAAGGGCTCTTAATTGAAAATTCTGTTCCATTCCTTGCTTTAGAAGTGTTTTACAATTCATAGAAAGCTAGAGTTACCACTCCCAGTAGTTTTTCTTAAGGCGGTTCTTTTATTAAGTATTTTTAAAAGTCACAAGACTGCAGCCCCTATAACAGTTCCTTGAAAGGAAATTGCGAACTGGGAGATAGAACTTTAGCAAAGATGAGATCAAGTGATGGAGAGAGGCGAGGGAGAGGGAAGGGAGTAAAATAATTGGGACGCATTATGTACATACACAAAATCCACACAATAAATATAATTTGTACTGCAAACATGTACTAGTAAAATTTAAAGGGAATTGTGCCATCTTAAACACTTTATCCAGCAATCTCTACAGTATAGAACACTAGCAGAACCTAAGCTTAAAAAAAAAAGTTTAATTGTAAGTATCTGTGCTGCTTAAATAGCGTTAAGTAGCAAATAGGCATGAATCCAATGCAGGGAACTAGCATTCAGACCCTTTACTATAACAATACAATTCCAGCGTGCTTAGTCAAGGTTTCTTAGTGCAGATTGCAAACAATTTAGGAAAACATCTGTACTAAGAGTTTTCCAATGGTCTAGAAGCAGATTGAAAAGAGTAAAATTTTTTGAATAGAAAACTTAGCAGATGTAAGGTCTATAAGACTTAGACACAATCTAAGATAATTTGTTACAGGACCCACGCGATACTACATGGTGGCTCCAGCAAATGCCAGGCTATTGTGTCCCAGGAGTAAAGAATTGCAAGTGTAGGAAAAAGCAACTATATTTATTAAAGACCCCCAGAAGATGTAGTAGTGGAGGTCCATGGTGACAAAAATGTTGCATGAACAGAGAATTAGTGCCAGAATGACAGGAAAGTAAAGAGCACACAAACAGATAAATCAAGCTTTCAGACATCCAACCCAAGTACCTCTCCTTAAATTTCTGAGTAAGATTGACAGGGTACTGAGTCATATTCTGGGGTGACTTTCCCAGAGTTCACTGTGTTAAATTGCATGCATGAGATGCTGTCCATATTTATTAACCCTCCATAAAGTTCGAGAGGGGAAAGCTTTCAGGTCAGGTCACAAGATCTAACATGCATGTGCTGTGGCCTGGAGTTTTAGAGACTTCTGGGTCTTTGGCTCCTTTTTGCCTCCAAATAAGGGAGTATTACCTAAATTGAAGTGGATGGAGGGGGGTGGTCTGCAGGGTGAGTCTGTGCTACCTGTACTAGGGGACCCTCACCCTTTGCAGTCCCTGAGGCTTTGGCAAGCCCCAGAGCTGCAAATGATGTGTCTCCATGCACTTTGCCTAAGAGCTCCTTGAAAAATGTAATTTCCAGAAGAAACCTTATCTAATTTGGTAGTTAAGTAAGAAATTATGAGAAGTAATGGGTACCTTTAAAATAAATTTTCCCACTTAAAACATGCATGTGTATTTATTTGGAAATCTTTTAACACAGTGTGAATTTTACTTTGAGGAGCGTAGGTTCAGTGGGTAGAATACTACAGTTTATGTTGGTTGACCTCATTTAACTCTTTCAGATGACAATACTTGAAGCTACTCCAGCACAGACTTTTGAGTTTTGTAATTTTCCTCTCAGTCTTTATGGCCCTTGTTAAAATGATGGGCCTCAGCAATCACAGAAAAGCATATGTAGGCTCCATGGCCCAGTGATCGAAAATATGCCCTCATCTCAAGATAGCTGTGGTTTTCTCCTGCAAACCCCATGAGAATCCCCCACCCTGCAAGAGGGCTACTGCTCTGTTGTTTGCTTACTCACTGTCCCTCTCAGGTTTTAATTCCAATACAGTCTGTACTCCACTGTGGAGATCCCCTACCTTGCTTTTTCCCTTACACAGGTATTCATCTTTCCAGGGGGAGTGGGTACTGGGGATTGAACCCAGGGCCTTTGCACTGAGCTACATCCCAAGGCCCCTTCCTTTTTATTTAACTTTAAGATAGCACACCAAGTGTCTCAGATGGGATTCAAGCTTAGCAGTCATCTTGCATCCGTTTTCCAAAATTGTTGGTATTTATAAGCTTGCACCACCACACCTGGCCCAGTGCAGGTTTCTTTCTCTGCAAGTTTCCATGACTTCATTTAGGATCTAGATTGATAATTTTCTCACATTAGTTGCATCTTCATGGAAGTACTAAACCAGGATAGGAAAAATAAGCAGGAAAACTGTCCTTAAAGACACAGTAGACCTGGGCTACTCCCTTTGACCTATACATGGGCCATTTATAAATCATTCCTTGTTGCTAATACTACTGCTCTTTCCCTGTGGATGAGCTATAACACTACCACCTGTGTGGAGGAGGGATTTGGAACAGGATTTTCACAGGTGAGGTCTCTTTCCTTGAGAAGAAAAGAATGCACGTAGGGCAGACATCAGTTCAAAAGAGAGCAGCCTGTGTCTTTGTTGTTTAACTCTTACACAGGTGGTTATCATGTAGTTATAGATGTGACTAGCACGTGCATGGTCATCTACTGCTAAGTGATCCTTATATAACTGCACTAGAATGCAAGGTCATGTCCTCAGAGCTGGCCAGAGGTGTCCTGACATGCTCCCCGAGCTTTGAAGCCTAAAGCAGTCCATCTGGAGTGGTGCCCCACAACCTGCAACTCCTGTCACCCATGAATGGACCATCACACTTCCCCTGCAGAAAGAGCTGTCACCTTTCATCTGTAATTTGAGTCTCCTCTTTCCAAAGATTCATAAATTTCCATTGCCAAACTTTCCCAAAAACATACCGAGGCCATAAACATCTCTGCCCCCCACTCTATTTTTTGTGTGCCTTTTAAATTTTGTCTCATCTCTTTATGCCTCTTAGTGATACCCCCTGAAAATGCTTTTCCTATGATAGAAGTCAGCAGATCTGCAAGGTGTCCCCTGGGTGGGGTGAGTCATGGTTTCCCATCATCTCTGCTACAAAGGCTCCCGCCTGTTTCACTCCCTAGAGAGACGGTGTATAAAGAAATGTCACTTGCCATTGCTTTTGAGGTCCTTGATAAACTTATGCTAAGAGGCTTCTTTTTGAAAGAGTCATCATAGAAGTGCTATGGATATATACTTGAGTAAAAGCTAGATCGGTAAATTCCAGTTTGACCCTAAAATTTGAACACAGTCAGAATTACTATTGAAATTGGATGTAAACCCACGCACCTCAGAAATAAGAATAAGAACTTTATTTTGGATCTTGGCCCTAGCTACCTTTCCTTGATTGAAAGACAAAGGTAAGGATGGGAAAGATAACCAGGATTTCTGCTCTTAATTTTTCAACTTCTTGTAGATTTTGGTAACAGTTACAGGGCTTGGCTTCTGACAGGAAGACTGCATGTGTGGCCCAAGTTCATCTGAAGGGAATTTGAGAACTGTCAGGTTATTTTACCAGTGGACCAGGGAATGGATATAATGTTTCTGTCTTTCCTTTGCAGAAGTGCAATGTCTCAGGAAGGCAGTTATGGGAAGTGGACAGTATCCAGTAGTGAGGAAAGTGATGGGGAAAAGCCTGAACCAGACAAACCCTCCACCTCATCTGTCCTTCGCACTGGGCAGGAAGCAGCACAGGTGCCGAGCTACACCTGCTCCGAGGCTCGGAAAGCTGCATACAGGAGGCAGATGTCACCTGTGAAATTCAGCAATGCAGATTCAGTTTCACCTCCCAAAAAGCAGAGAAGTAGCTCCCAGGACGACCTGGGCTGGCATCTGTCCAGCAGTGAGGATGAGCTGGGACCAGAAACACAGCAAACACAGTCTGAGCGCATAGTGGTCAAAGAAGAAAAAGACAACCCTGCTCCCAAAAATGGTGCTGCCCAAAGAACGGGAAATAATGGACTTCCTGCCAGCCACAGGCTCAAAGAGGAAGATGAGTACGAGACCTCAGGAGAAGGCCAGGACATTTGGGACATGTTGGATAAAGGGAACCCCTTCCAGTTCTACCTCACTAGAGTCTCAGGAATTAAGCCGAAGTACAACTCCAAAGCCCTTCACATCAAAGGTAAGGATGTAGGGCAACCAGGAGATGTAGAGTTAAACTAGAGAGCATTTTCCTTGGTAAGTCAAGGAGAAAAGCCTGGCCCAAGCTCCAACAACCCTTCCTTGCAGTCTTCACTATTCTCAGGGGGACAAAATATTCTTGTTGACAAGCATTAGCTTGACTGCAAACTGTTTACCTAGAGGAGGCATTCAGAGGCTATTTCTCAGACGCCTGTAGTTCAGCCCCTTGTGTGCTCAACACAATGTTTAGAATTGTTTCACTTTTAAGATCACATTTGATCAGAACACTTTATTAACGAAGTCACCAAGCCTGACTGCAGTTGTTCTCTCTGATTCTGCCCCAGCAACATCAGACTAGCCTGGAACTTGTAGAAAATGCAAATTCTCAGCTCCACCAGATGCTGCCACTCAGATGCTTGTGATTTGACAAGGCTTGCAGGGCTTTAACATCCAGTCAGGCTCAGAACCACAGTTTGCAAGCTTGGTTTGGGTTTCTGGTGAGAAAGAGGCAGAAAAGAGCCCGGCCAGTGCAGGTAGCTATTTCAGCCATGATGGGAAAAGGGTCTCTGGTTCTCCTGATTCCATAGGGGAAAGAGCGGAAGCTTGAGAGTCAAAGGTACAGTTTCGCAGCCTCACCACTCATTAACTCTGTTACCACACAAGACCTGCCATTCTCCAGATTTCTGCATGCTCCTCTTTAGCCTGAGGATTCAGAAAAACAGGATGTGAAGTACCAACATGGTACATGCACGTGGCAGATACACACAGTAAATATCATTTCCCTTCTTGCAGATTAACTTTTCTTCTGGCTTATTCAAGAGCACATTATCCACTGTCAACAGTATTTCTCTGTATCAAATATTTAATTATATGTTTTATTTCTTCTGTTGATACATAAGTGTTGGTGCATTTAGTCCTGTACTGTAACGAGTTCAGTTTTGTTTTTCATTTTGAGAGTTTCTTACCTAGCAGGTATTTTGAAGAAACATAAGACAATTGTATTTTTTGTTTTATTCTGTTTTAAGAGAATTAGCACAGGACATAGAATTCTGCAGACTTTGGTTGTATGAAATAAACTGATAAAGACAGCCATGGACACAAGGTGTTCAGGGAGGGAGATAACATGAAGCGTGGAGCTTTAACCTACACTTTAATCCTCTTAACAGCTTCATGAGGGGATGTTCCAATGGTCCTCATTGGATAGGTGACACAGCTGCAGTTTAGAAAAGTTAACTACGCTGCCCAAAGTTACAGAGCTGATCAGTAGTAGGGCTACGACTTGAATCAGGCGTACGGCATTCGATGCCACGCTGTCTGAGATAGCACATTAACATACACTATAATTGTGGATTGTCTAGAAAATTGCATGGAGGAATGGGGCCTTCCAGGGGTCCTTGAAAGAGTAGCATTGCAAAAGGTAGAGGTGCTGGGAGGGTCAAGTGGAGCAAAGTATTGCAGTTTACCTCTTAGTAAAGTGGGGACTTCCTTAGAGGTAGTTACTTGTTCGTTTAAAGTCTTCATATCCCAGCAGCTAGCTCCATGTCTGGGAGACAAGAGGCCCGCAGTGATTTTACACACAGTGAATACCTGTAAAGTACCTGAATGAACCCCTACTCTTCACCCTCAGAGGCAGCATAGTGGGTTAGAGCAAGGTGGAGGGGGACACAGTGGATCCAGCTTGGACTCTGCCCCTCCTAGCTGTGTGGTCATGAGTAGCCTCCAAGGAAGACTTGTCCTCATCCACAACAGTGGAATAGCAGAACCTGCTTCGGAAAGTGGCTGGAGGAGTAAGAGCTAACATGTGGGCAGTGCCAGACACATACATGTCCTGCACAGTTGCACCAATAGGATCAAAGATGGAAATGAACACATGCTACTTCTTATGGTGTACCTCACACCCAGAAACATTCTGATCTAACATGAAGTTTTAATGGGTGCTAAATGAGATCTCCTTCAAGGTGACCAGAAACACCAGGGGTGTCAGTTTAAAACCATGGGAATTCAGTGCTCCAAGATCCCAGAGAGGCACTGGGGACAGAGATGGATAACTGGAGGGGTAAAGATTCAAAGACCCTAGAAAGAAAAAAGTATGAACATAGGTGTTGACTGTCACCCAGTATTGAAGCTGCAGATTTTAGTTATATTTTATAAAAGAATGTATAATTAAACTTTAAATACCACTGGGAAATTTTCTGACACATCAAGGCCTAGCTTTGTAATAATTTTCAGTTTACTGTTTCCTGAGTCACATCTTGATGGTTGCTAACTGTTTAATAAGTTAATCGTGATTGTTATGACTACAAGACTTTTCACTAAGTGTGAATCGTGTTTCTTCTTTGTAGATATTTTATCTCCTCTATTTGGGACACTTGTTTCCTCAGCTCAGGTGAGTTTACAAGTACATGGTTTGTTAACTCAGGTGAAAACACAAATAATTAAACATCTTTATAAGAAAGTATGAGAGGTGGTGTGGGGGGGTGTCTCAGTCTGTGCAGCCCCAGAGATGGCACATGCCTAGCAAGAGACTGGCACCCTGCACCATAGTTGGAGGGCCCATGGCCATGGAAAGTGGATGTCACTATCAATTAAGGTGCCTGACTCTTGATCAGACCACCAGGACTGACCAGGAGGTCACTTTGGACATTGCAGCCTCTGATAATCTCAGGACTTTTGTTCCACCCCCCTGCATCCACCACAGTGGATAGCATGGTGAAGGCAAGTTTGATTTAACTTAAAAAAAATATGAGTGGAAGTTACAGGTTCTTGTGCATATTCCATGGCTCTTATGTGACTGAGCTGGTCCCTTTGTGTTCATGAATCATATTAACACTGCCAAGGAATAGTCCAAAGAAAGGGCCATGTCCCTCCAGCAAGCCAAGCTCTCTGTGCCCTTTGTGTTCACTTTGGCCTAAAGAGTCCTGGTCTCCAGACTACACCTGTGGGTGCTCTGAGCGAGACTGAGCTCCTAGGCCCAGGATGGCCCCAGGCGTCACAAGGTCCCACGGCTAAGATCCACTTGTGGTCAGGATGGGATTGTTAATAACATAGCGAGAGCCCAGAACAAAGTATGTGTGTACCCAGCTAATCAATAAGTTGGGCTGGAAGTAAATGTCCTTTTCTAAAAGTCCTGGGATCCTTTCTCCAGAATCTATCATTTTAAAATCACTTAGGAGAAAAGGGATGCATGTATAAGCTCCTTTATGTAAATTAATAGTAGGACTGTTAGAAATAATGTAGCACCATCGCGTTGACAAGTACAAATACTGCCAAAGCATGCGGAGATAATTTCCTTAGAAGCTATTTTTCTTGTACATATGGCTGCATTTATGCAGATTCCTTTAGCCATGTATTCCTTCAGGATAAAATTTAAGTTTATTTATGAGTATTTCAGCATAGTTATTGTACAGGTTTATAAATTATATACGTAGTGCATTATTATTTTAGCGTTTCTTTCAGTTTAATGAATGGTTCTTCTGAACTGCATAACCTGTGGTTAGTTACTTTTCTCTTCCCCATCTAGTTTAACTACTGCTTTGACGTGGACTGGCTTGTAAAACAGTATCCACCAGAATTCAGGTGAGTTCCGTGGATAACAGAATGCTGTAATAATAATAATAATAAACAAATAGTAAAACTGAATTGCTTTGAAGCATAAGATCTGTATTTCTCAGATGAAAACCACTCACCTTTTTTTAGTGTTTGTTTAGAAGCTATTGAAATCAGATTGACATTAAGTCATTTTAAGCAAATAGCATTTTAAAGTCCCGTTTAATCCCATACATTGTTTGAAGAGATTGGAGCGTTTTCCTCTGTGCTCTGTTCAAGAAGTAGGTAAAGACAGGCTCCAAGTCAAATGCTAGGACTTCATGCCCAGTGTTAATATGGAGGCAATACATCTCCCAGCGGGCCTGTACCCTTGTGCCTGCCAGCACATCATCTAACACCTGCCTAGCACTTTGGTGCTCCTCTTTTCCTGAGTTCTCCAGTGATTCTGTGCTTGGCAATGATTCTTCTGTAGTTCTGGACCTACGAAAGAATGTCTTGGGCTTTCCCTCTTGTAGACTGTGGAGGTGATAGATGCAGTTCATCAGCTGCATGTTAGGCGGTGCAGGCCAGTAGAGCTTGGCATAGTGACATGCTACCTGTCCTTGTTCCTGGCACATTTATACACAGGAAAAATGATTGTCAGGGTCCTCTTGGTGCGTGTAAGGTGCATGCATCAGATTGTGGAGACCTTTGTCACTTGAGAGGGTAAAATGTTGCTGAGGTTTCCCAAGCAGCTTTGGCACTCAAGAGCTTGTGTTTAATTTATAACATGAAGGATGAGTTTTAGCTGCACGTTAATAGAAAACCCAAAATAACAGTGATTTAAACAAAACAGAAATTAGTTTTTCCAGCCCAAGAAGCCCAGCGGGTACACATTTGTGATCTGAATTGGAGGATGTCATGGTTTTCTCCAGGATTTATAGACCTGTCTTCTGACTTTCTGTCTCACCGTGGTATGTTCAAAGTCACCTCCTGCTCCAGGATGGCAGCCAGAGCCTCAGTTCGCTTGTTTGTGTTCCTGGTAGCAAGGAAGAAGAGAAGGAAGGAAGGGCTCATGTCCCAGTTGTGCCCCCAGGAGCATCTGTCCTGCTGGTCCCACACAGCATCTGCTTCTCCCTCGTTGAGCAGAGCTCAAGTGCATGACCACCAGACCTGAAGGAGGCTGGGAATGTGACCTTCCGGCTGAATACAGCTTGTGCTGCCTAAAATCAGAGTACTGCTAGGAAGGAGAGACTGGATGGCTGGAACAGTGGGTGTGATCGGTCACAAGCCCTTCCCAGAGCTGCATCCCTGGGTGTTGCATACGTGTTTTCTGCTCTTCATCCTTTTGCTTCTCAAAGACCTGTCATCAGATGTTGCCCCTTTACAATGTTGCCAAAGTGCACACTTAAATCCCTTTAGTACCTTTTATGGGTGAAGTCTCACTTTAAAAAGAGTATAGCAGTCCTAAGCCTTGATGCCTCAGAATGCGGGTCCGTTTGGGGATAATCCTTATAGAGGTTATTGGTCAAATTAAAAGGAGCTCATAGAGTGGCCCCTACAGTATAACTGGTGTTGTTATAAAAGGGAAAGCTTGCACGCGCAGACACACACACACACACACACACACACACACAAAGACTCTATAAAGGTATAAGGATGTCATGTAACCCCAAGGAGTGCTTGAGGCTACCTGCAGCCAGGCCGTGTCCTGGAACAGATTCTCCTTGTCAACGCCCAGAAGGCAGTAGCCCTACCAACATCAGGACCCAGGTTTCTCGTTTCCGGGGCTGTAAACAAATTTCTCCTTAAGCCATTGTCTTGTGATTTGTTACAGCAGCTGTAACAAACTTACATAGTGTACACTAGACTGAGCAACTGAAGTCAGAGGGCAGAAGAGTTCTCCCTCCTCTTCACCCTCTTATTATACAGTGTGTCTTGGGAATGCGGTGGTCTAGAGCACTGTAAGGAAAGGAGTGAGTTTAGGTAACCTCCATAGTTTGTAGAAAATTCCAACCCAGGAGGATTTGTACCTCACTGCACTGTATAGATGCTGCCTTTTTATAACAGTTCACAGAACCCATAAATTTTGGAGGAATTAATGAAGACCTCAACTTTTATTAATCAGTTATTTTTTTTCACTTTTTTTTTTTTAATCAGTTCCGGGGATCGAACTCACTACCATGCGCTTGCAAGGCAGGCGCTTATGCTGCTGAGCTAAATCCCCAGCCCCTAATCAGTTATCTTTAATATGACTCCATAGTCTGGTAACATTTCTTATTATCAGACAAATGTACGAATCTTTCTTATGTTACGCTCTATGCTGTTGTTCTAGTTGTCAAAATTTTTTTTTCAAGTAAGGAAAAAGTTAAGAATGTATGCTTCATAATTTTGTTTTATCTGAGACATTAGAATACAGCTTACATGGGCATAACGCAGCAGTGCTGAAATTGCATTTCCTGTGGTGTTTCTGTCTCGTTGAATGTTGCCCCTTCATGTGTGGCAGACACTCATTATGCAGTGTAATTGATAAATCTGAAAGTGACTGCAGTTGTTTTTGTTGCTTGATTGCTTGTTGAAGAAAAATTCAATTTTTGTTGTGTTAGGCAAGCTAGTAAAAAGATACATTGATTTTTAAGGATTGTCTTTCTTTGAATTAACTGGGGATCAAGGATCCCTTAAATGCCTTTTTAGTCTGTTCCTGAAGAGTGCTTTTATGTAGTCTTTGGAATTTAAAAAATTATAATGTACTTTGGGCTGTGGTTCATTGGAATGTAACTACCTATTAATAAATCTGCACTGTGCTATGGGCTTGGGCCATTTCCTTTTGTATCCTGTTTCCTGAACAGTAGTATCCAGAACAACTAGTAGGAGCTGGTAAATAGAAGCCCAAAGTGAATCCATTTTTGCTTGATCCGAAACAATTCTATATGTATAATGATGACTGTGCATCTTTAATCTATCTGATCTTAAATGTATTAACACAGGTTCTTATGTACTACTTCAGATTATTTGCTCAAGGACCTTGTTGAGTCTCAGCCCAGCTGTGTTATGACAGCCTTTGGGGTCGGGCCCATCTGGTCCTTTACAAGAACAGTGAATGAGCGTTTCTGCCGAGGCCATGTGTTGGGCCCTGCACTCGGTCACAAAAGGAAGAAGGCATTCAAAAGGGCAAGCATTGAGCTTCATGAATGATGCATCTTAAACAGTTCTTTCCACCTTTCAGAAAGAAACCCATCCTGCTTGTACATGGTGACAAACGGGAAGCTAAGGCTGATTTGCATGCACAGGCAAAGCCCTATGCCAACGTTTCCCTGTGCCAGGTAAGCTGCCTGTTGACATCCTGGTCAGTCTAAGAGTTGAAGGGAACTTCAGACCTTTAGTCCACCCTGCCACCCAGTGCCACAGTCGTGTCCCCCAATGCAGTCATCACCAGCATGTGTTTGTCTAACCTCAGTCTAAGCACTTCCTGAGATAGCCTGACCATGTTCTTGAGATAGCCTGACCTAGCCCAACTGATGGTTGGAAATATTTTTCTTTATATTAACCTTAAAAGTCTCTCTGCTTGTAATTTCCATCCATTGGTCCCAATTTTCTTCCTCTGGGACCAGCAGAGTATATCTCTTCTTTGCTCTTGTCAGTGATTCTATAGTCAAAGTAATCTATCCTGTTTCTCTTATTCTCTCTCATCACCTAGCTTTTGTCACTTGCACTCAGTGCAGCATAGATCCAGATATGTTTCCAGCCTGCTAGCACTCTGTTGATAGCTGGTTTGTCCATGTACCCTTTTTTTTTCCTTAAGTACTTGGGATTGAACCTAGAGCCCTTCTCACTGAGCTACATCCCCAGCCCTTCTTCTTTCCTGTTTTGACACAGGGTCTTGCCAAATTGCACAGGCTGGGGTCCAATTTATAATCCTGCCTGAGCCTGCAGAATGCTGGGATACAGACAAGCACTAACACCACCGACTCTGCCTCTTAAAACCTGAGCGTCAGCGCTAAGCAGGGCCTCTCGTTACAATGTGGCGCCTCAGGTCTTTGCTGCTGTTGACTCTTCGGCCATTGTCTTCCATTCTTTTTCACATCAGTTGGACCTGAGTTCTGTACTGGAGAGACTCATAGCTTAAAAACCCGTTAGGAAATTTTAGTGACTCCAGCTGTGTGTGACCCAAGCCCACTGAGGGAGCACTGAAAAGTTTCATAATGGGTACCTCGGCTTGCTTGGCTGGAACCAATCCAAAGTAGAAAAGAAAGGATACACACTCAAAAACTGTTACCCAGTTTCTCTATAGTTCCCTGTAATTTTAGTTTCATACTTTGTAGTCACCCTACAGTGTGACCAAATGAATCCTTGGGCTTTTCACATGACCCATTGCTGCACCCAAAACGATCTTTGATTTCATGGGCTATTTTGAATAGAAACAACAACAACAACAACAAAAAAAAAAACCAAGCAAAACAAGACTAAAGGAAATTCAGAAGAATTTTTTACATTTGTGGAAATGTTGGTTATGAATTAGCTGCTGAAACACCCATCTTTTCATGTTCCTTTTAGGGTAGTCAGCTTGTTCATGAGAAAATAGGTTAAAAAAATAACTTTTATGACTGTTCTATCATCAACTTAGTGAAACTGGCTCAAGATTTCTGCTCTCGGAATACAGAGCTGGTACCCAGGTTCCTTTTCCTTGCTGTTTTCCTTCTAGTTTCTTATTTTTCTCCACTCATGCAAGATTTCAGGATTTCAGCTCACATTTTATCGCTCTTGTTCCAACTATAAATGCTATTTGTGTGTGTAAGATCAAAACAGCGCAAGAGCTTAATCAGATCAACTTTAAACATGCATCACAATGTTTTTCTAGCTTTCACCCACTGCACTTTGTATAATCGTGATTTCCAAATATGTCATCTTCTACCCAGCATGGGACTCATCTTCTGCGCACAGGTGTGCCTTTGTTTAACAGGCATCTAAAATGCCATTGTTGTGTGTCTGTTCCGGAAATAGAAGAAGCTAACATGGAGTAAGATAGTCACAAGCAGAAAGCAGATAGAAAAAGAATCTTGAAAAACAGTGGTTAAATACCGAAAATGTGTTTCCAATAGGAAGTATGTTAAAAAGTTTAGCAGAGCTGCTCTTGGTAACCTACTCTGAACCGGCCACTAGAGGGCGTAAGGAGACCTGTCTTGGCTGAGGGGCCAAGAACTGTGCATGGCTCCACTCTAGTACTAGGTACAGAAGTAGACCCTACCCTGACCTGTTGAAATGCCTTTGTGTCTTGTTTTTGGAATGAATTCTTCAATGTTTCTAGCATCACTGTCATTGAAGCAGGATAGAGACTGAGACCTTAGTATAGTAGTCAAGGGTCAGATTGCCTGGGTTCTGTCCAGCTCTCTACCTAGGTCCAGATGCTGGGCATTTTAATGCACTTGTTTCTCAGTGTTCTGGAAGGTAGGAAATGTAAAACCAGGGTGCAAGACCGTTTGGGTCCTGGGGAGGACTTTTCCTGGCTTGTGTATGGCTACTGTCACAGGTCTTCACTTAGTAGAGGGAGGCGGGGGCCCATGCACCACTCCTGTGTCTTTCCTCATAAGAACACTGTTAGAAATTGATACCCACCCCCACACATGCATATGACTTTGTTTACTCTGATCACTTCCAAAAAGTTCCTGTCTCCCAGTCACATTGAGGGTTGGTACAACATGAATTACAAATGAGGAGACACTCAGCATTCAGCCCATAACACTGTCTCTCTTTCAGGTCTTGTCACTGAAGCCTAATTGTTTAAACCTAATTTCTTATGTTCAGAAAGCATTACAGTGCTCTTCCTCACAGAGTTTTAAAGAATTTGGTGCATTAGCCCTCCCCCCAGAAGCACTCATCAAACATTACCTGCTGTTCATGCTTCAACTTGCCTAAAGTCCTGTAACTTGTAAAAAACAAAAGTCTGATCTCTTGACCAGTGCTCCTTCTCAGCTAAGTATCAGTTTACAAAGTGACAGTCTTCTTCTAGTTTTGTAATTCTAAACACATGAAGAGCAGTTCCCAGCTGTCCCTCCCATGCGTGGAGCACACAAGCACTCCCCAGAGGTTAGCATCCCTGAACACACCTAAAAGAGTGCAGTGCCCGAATTTCTGGTGGGTGGACAGGCATCTCCCACAGGGCCTGTGCTGCACTCGCAGGCGTCCAGTGCTCATTACTGCCCCCAGTGGACAGTGCCCTCTTCTGTCCTGCGGTAGGGCCAGGTATGCGGCAGTGATTGCTGCTGTGAACAGAGCTCACTGTAAGCAGGCCTCCTTTTATATCCTGTGTACCATCACAGCCGGCTAACCACACCCAGTTTTAAAGAAGAGAAAACCAAGGCATAGAAACACAGGTGTTTCTAACATCGTACAAACGTGTGACGACAGGATCTCTCCCTTCTCACGTGTTCTGCTCCCCCAAGATTTTACTAAGCTGAATCCTGGATTATACATTTGCCTCTCTGCATGCCCTCCATTTATTCATAAGGAGGTCGTTTTATAACAAAAATGGATTTAGTATCTCTTTATTTTCCAGCACTTGCTATGTGTTCAGTCTAAGAAAATTTCTATTTTAATTTATCATCTTTGTGTTGGCATCACATTGTTTCTTTTAAATAAGCCCTGAACACTGTATATTAATTTCCTCTATAATAAGCCAAACACATAATTTTAAATCCTCATGTAGATCACATTTGTTTTATTAGTTTTTTTGACAGCTAAAGAAATTAAGTTTCTGAATCTTAATTACTATAATTTAAAATGCAGTCAATATTAAATCATTCTGGGGAACCAAACCGTTTTGTTCTTTCTGAACCTTACTAGATGCTGCAATAAAAATGGTCAATAGAGGGCAGCAGACAGTTTTTAGAACTGGATCCTTTTAAATTTTCTTTTTTTTTTTTTTTTTGTCTTTTTCCTTTTTATCGGTACCAGGGATCGAACTCACGACTGCCTGCTTGCAAGGCAGGCACTTATGCCGCTGAGCTAAACCCCCAGCCCCTCCTTTTAAATTTTCAATAGCTAGAAATATTAGCAAGGTTTTTTTCCCCCCTTTTAAATAAATGACCTTTTTTTTCATCTTAGGCGAAATTGGATATTGCCTTTGGAACACACCACACGTAAGTAACCTCTATGAAATGGAGGAGGCTATGATTTTAATGCATCAAAGCGTACTGTTGCAGAAGTGCCATTACAGGGGCTGATCTGTGATCATGTTGCTGGAAGAGGGGGGAAAACAAAACTGTCAGTAGCCAAGTGCGTGGAGTTGTGCTGTAGTAGCTTTAAGATTTAATGCTGAGATTCTGGCTGTCAGCGTGAAAGTATAAACCGCTGTTCTGAAGCTTCTCCCTTCTGTGCAGGGCTTGTGTACCAGGCTTGAAGGAACAGATTAGGTTCTGTGTGGTCCTTGCAACCATGGGTGCTTGTATGTGTGCAGTTGTTACCGGGTTTTAGGGTGCTGGAGCCTCCTTCTGGAGCTGGTTTTTAGATTCTTTCTGTCCTGAGCAAGCAAGTAGTCAAGACAAGCACAAGCAGTAGCAAAATTTTATTAATGGTGGATGAAAAAACAAACAAACAAAAAAGAAACAGTCTTTGCAGAGTGAATTTGGGCCAATTTGGGCAGTCAGAAAACAAGCGCACCCTGCAGCCTGAGAGCAGGCCTGTGATCTCGTGCTTGCCAGGCGGGCACTTTTGCTGCTGAGCTAAACCCCCGGCCCCTGGACCATCCTTTCCGGAACACTCAGTCTTCAGGCTGAAGCCAAGTCTCAGCCCTCCTGTCAAAAACCCTCTGGAGTTCTGCGAGAAGTCCACCTGCAGGGCACTGGGAACTGTCTTGTGCATGCGTCCTGGGATTTTGTGCTTCTCCAGCCAGCTTTGCCAAGTCCTAATCTCCTGCCTCATCATCTTGTGCCTGCAGGCACCTCACCTTTTACAAAGCTCTGTGATCTGGATAAGCATAAGCTGCCTCGAATAGATGCTACTGGTCAGCTCCATGCTGCAATCAAAAGGAAAACTATTTTACAAGAAGTTGTCAATTTGAAGACTAGCCCAGCTCCAAACAGCTCTTTTAAAAATAATTTTTTGAGGTGTAAAACAGAGACAGAAAAGCTTTTTTGTTACTTCCTACTTGACAGATTGAGCCTAGTTTCCAACTGGACTCCCTCTTACTTACATTAGGTTTACAGAGTCCTTTTCCAAAGTTATCCGTTCTACAAATGAGAAAAAAGTAAGACATAGGCACCAAGTGTGGTAGCACCTGCCTGTAATCCCAGCACTCAGGAAGCTTAGGCAAAAGGATTACCATGAGTTCAAGGCCAGCCTGGACTATGTAGTGAGCTCAAAGTCTTCTGATTATAGGGAGACTGTCTCAAGAAAAACAAATCAAGAATAAGACATGGTCATCCCTATTTTAATATTTCCACAAATCACATTTCTCTGGAAAAAATTTCTCAGAGGAATATGACAGGCCCACTTTCTTCCTAACCAATAGTGGCAGTGGGTGACTTGCATCAACCCTGTGCCTCTGGGCAGAAAGAAGTCCCTTAGGAGGGAGCTTTTGCCATGAGCCTGGCTGTGACTATTGTTTTCCTGTTGTTGTGATGGCCTGAAATGATGGCATTATAGCCACTTTTCTCTTTGTGTACCTGAAACTATCTTTTTGCTGGTCTGTTTTGAGAAGGAGCCAGAGTGGAGGCAGTGGGCCACTCCAGGAGAGGTGGGTCCCCGCCACACATGCCCCCAGCCAAGATGCTCAGAATAGAAGTTGCAGAATCTGCAAGCCACCGCTAGTGGGCAGCATTCGTCCAGATGAAGGAGGAGTTAAGAGTTTGAGGAGTGAGGCTGAATGCAAGCACCTCCGTCACGTATAGAAATATTCTTTTATACTGAGCTTCCAGGATACCAGTTTTAGCAGAGAATGCAGAATGCTGTCGCACAAGGACCTCCCAGTAGGAATGGGCAGCAGCAAATAAGGCCCAGCATAAACGCTAGTTCATGACAAGCCCTGCTGCCCATCTGGATTGTGGCCGTGATCTGCTCAGTCACCTTGCCAGGTTCCCATGCCAGCCCTGCAGTCCGTGCTCCACGAGGAGCCTTCTGAGTGACAGTTACACTGCACTGCTCTGCTGCCAGGTAGCAAGAGTCTCTGTTGTCATTTGTCACCTTGTTTAATGCTCTTCAAAAAATTATTTGGAGGTTGAGGCAGGAGAATTGCAAGTTCAAGGCCAGCCTGGGCAATTTAGGGAGACCATGTCTCAAAAATAAAAAATGAAAGGGCTGAGGGTGTAGCTCAGTGCTAGAGGGCTTGCTTAACATGCATAAGACCCTGGGTTTTACTCCCAATATCACACACACACACACACACACACACACACACACGCACAGTAGTTGGTCCTTTTAATTTTATAGATAGGAAAACTGAGGCCCAGAGTAGGTAAGGTGATTTTGCTTATCCAGAGATGGAGACAGGAATAAAACTCATTTGCTTTAATTTTAAATTTATTCTTGTTTGCTTACTCAACCTTGTGTCCATAGCCCATAACAGTTTTTAATTCGGAATTTAAAATGCTCAGGGAAGTAATTCTAGTAGAACCTTTCCCACCTAGATAGTACCTGTAGTTTACATTTTGTAGAAATGCCAAGATCTCAAGCTCATGTCTTGAAACTGCTTTGGTTGCTTTTTGTTTTATGAATTACTCATTAATGTTCTTGAGTCACATGCAGGAGGACATAGTTTTTGTCCCTTCAGCTTTTTGTCTTTTAATAAGCAAAGTCAAACACAGATGAGTTAGGAGACAAGGAGGAGAAAATCCTTCCAGCTCATGGCAGTGCAGGGCGCAGCTGGCAGCAGGGACCTGAAGGAATCTCAGAGTGGCTCACAGCTGAGCTGCCAAGGTGCTGCATGCACAGCGTATGGTGACAACCCAGATGCAGGCCTGGCCTCCTGATGCTTAAAGGTTGGCAAGGTCTAACTGCGTTCTGTCTAATCTCTATAGGACGCTGTGAACCTGTGGTCTATCTCACAGGGTTTTGGGATGGCAAAAGCCCCCAACCTGAGTCATTTTCTCACAGCTGGGACACAATACCCAGCACCCACAACTGAAGCAAAAACTTTGTTTCGTCTCGAACTGTAAAGATTTCAGTCTATAGTCCGCTGGCTCCAGGCAGAATGGCATGGCAGTGGGGAACCAGAAGGAGTAAGGGAGGGGCTGGGGAAGGAGGTGAACTCTTCTCGGGGCCATGTCCCCAGAGCCCTGCCTCTCCCAACCTCACCTTCTGGTGGAGTCAGCTGTCAGTCCAGTCACCTTCAGAAGCCCCATGGGTAAGTGCCCAAGGCTCTTGGGGAACATCTGTTACATAATCCATGAAACGCCCTCTCTGCGCTGGAAACAGTTACCTCAGAAGGCCACAGAATAGATTTAGAAAAAGAGCCAAAACAGCTGGAAGGCAAATGTCACTGTCCAAGCTGGAGGAGGCGAGTCACAGTGTGGGTAGGGTACACCTCTTCCCACTCTCCTCTATTTGGAGCCCCCATGTCCTTTCATTTAGTCTTTCTCACCAAGACTATGTCTACCCCAAATTCCACCCATCCGCAGTACCTCCAAATGTCCACTATTGCCACCACCAACACTGTCAAAGCCCTTCATAGTGATGGGAGCACGTGAGGTGTATAATTCCAGCCATCTCTGCTATGGAATCACTTTGTGACACAAATGATCCCCACTGCTTCTTGAAGCCATAGATTCTGCAGTGGTAAAATGTCAAACAGTGCTGGCATGTAGGGATCCAACAGTCTCCTTTGTGGGACTAGCTTCACATTTAGGAAGTGTCCTCCGGCCACCCCACTGCTCAGACCATAGGGCAGATCTGCTGCTTCAAGAGAGACTCCACCCCCTTTGCTGGCTGTTTTGTATTTTGCAGGGCTGGGCTGGAACCCAGGGCCTCACACATGCTAGGCTAGTGCTCCCCAGCCCTTTTTAAAATTTTTTTGTAAGACAGGGTCTCAGTAAGCTAACCAGGCCAGCCTCAAAGTTGCAATCCTTCTACCTCAGTTTCCCGAGTAGCTGGAGTCACAGGCAGGTGCCACCGTTCCCAGGCCCTACCTACCACATTCTACCTGTTTTTGACTGCTACCTTATTGATGAGGTGTTTTGTGTATCAAGAAAATTACTATGGGGCCCTTTAAATTCTTAACTGTATTTTTGTAAGATTGACTGACATTAGCGCCTGATTATCCTGGTAAGTGATGCCTTGATTAGTAGAAATATTTGTAAAACTTATAGCATGAATTCATAATTGGCTTATCCTTAATTATAATCAGCTGCTAATGTGGTAAATGTGTGTGTAAATTTGCCCAGATCTCAGTGAGACATTTAGTAACTGGAAAAAAGATGGCTCAGCAGCTGTCATTTCTCCAGCTTTGCATTAATTTACTGTTTGCCAGATTAGGTTAATTTCTCATTTTGGCAAGTACTAAAAAATCTCATTCTCCTCTCTGTTCTTGCATCCTTTTTTTTGCCCAGTCCTCGTGATTGAACCCAGGGCCTTCTCGCTGAGCTACACTCCTGCCATTTTTCTTCCTTTCTTTCTTCCTTTCTCTCTTTCTTCCTTTCCTTCCTTTCTAAATTTTGAGACAGGGTCTCACTAAATTCCTCAGGCTGGGCTAAAACTTGCTATCATCCTGCCTCAGTCTCCCAAAATGCAAGATGATAGGCATGTGCCCCCATGTGTGGCTCCCTTTTTTTTTTTTTTTAATCTTGTTATGCTCACCTCACCTTGCCTAATTAGAATGTAGTCATGTGGGATTGTTGGAGGAGAACCTGTGGTTTATGTTTTTATATGTGTAAGTTACATCAGTGAGTATTAACTAGCATTCTAACGTCAGTGAAAACGATGAGTCAAAACAGTTACAGCCTTGAGAGGTGACAGTAGTTGAGGAAAGAAAACTAGATTACTCAAATAATAAGACAATTAAGAGGAAAACTAGGGGCTGGGGATTTAGCTCAGCAGCATAAGCGCCTGCCTGGCAAGCATGAGGTTGTGAGTTCAAGCCCCAGTACCAGGGGGAAAAAAAAAACCTTTAAAAAAAAGAGGAAAAGTAGATTAATGCAATAAAGATAAGACAAAAATGATCTGATTGATTGCAAAATAAAGCAAAGCACTAAAGGAGTCATGGCAGTTATACGTGATCATTTATCATTTGACAAAATGCATTTTGATTTTATTTATAACAATCCCAGGGTGGGGTTGATCCTTATGATCCTTTTCCACGTGAAAAGCAAAGGTTGGGGATGACTGCATGGCTCACCTAGGATCAGGCAGTCTCTAAATAGCAGACTGAGCCTCAGGCCTTCAGACTTCAGATGGAAAGCTCTTACTTATGCTCTGCTTTGTTTCACTGGCAAGAAAAGGAATGTGTTTGGTAACGAGAGGCCAGAGGAAGCCCACTGGAATAGAAATGTCTCAGCCATTCTCAGCAGAGAAACAAAGACTGGGCTGGCATCTATGGAATACAAACAAATGGGTCTAACGAGAAGGAAGCATCTTGTAAATTGTTTAGTTGCAACCCATAATAAGAAATACCGTATGGCATACATTTCACTGTGCTGCACGTGGACACATCTGTGTGCTGAAACCAAAGTTCTGTGATCCAGTACTTCATTTAAATGTATGCACTGTATTCTTGATCCATTCTATTTCAGTCGTTATAATATGGAAGACGGGGCCAGGGAAATAGCTCAGCGGCAATGCACCTGCCTGACAAGCACAAGGTCCTGAGTTTGATCCCCGCTACCAAAAAACAATAAATAAATAAACCACATGAGGACCATACCGTGGCAAGAGGCTATACCCATACTTGGAAGAACCCTGGGCAGGGGTCCCATTGTCTGTTAATAATAGCATGATGCTGAATATATAACATGGGGCCAGACTGGAGGGGTTTGAAACGCCAAGACTGGTGTAGACAGAATGGAGTGAACATCCATTGGCCACCAGATGTGCTGAGCATTTTTGGAAAGTGGCATTTTACTGTCACTGAAGCAGATTTCCATAATGATAATGTGTAAAAAAGAAAATTAGGAATGTTCAAAGTATGGGTAATGTAAGGGTTTGAGAATTCCTCTAGCTACAACTTGTGTTCGGGCAATACAGTTAAGGTTTTAAATTTTTTCTTAATTTATTACACAAAAGGCACATTGCTATTAATCTCCTTCAAAATATTCTCCCTCACTTTGAAGACACATCCCGTCGTTGTTGCCACTTTCTGAAGCATTTCTGGACCCACTAGTGTGTCTTTAGTTGCTCTGTCGTGGCTGCCTTGGTGTTCAAAATCATTCATTGCGAAATGTTGACCTTTGGTGCTCATTTTGGCTCTGGAGAAGAAGCAGAAGTCACATGGCACCAGATCTGGTGCGGTGAATTTACAATTGCACGTTCTGTGAGCCTGCCTTTCCACTGGATGGCACACGGCAGCTGCATACAGTTCACATCTATAAAGTCAGAAAGGAGGACTTTCAGGACGACTTCAGAAAGTGGCAAGAATTACGGGACAAGTGTGTTCAAAGTGAGAGACAGTATTCTGAGGCGGATTAATAACTATCTTTCACTGTAATACTTTAAAACTTTAAATATTCACTGTATATTTTTATTACCCATGTGTTTGTGATATTTTCACTAGAAAGGTATTGCACAGTTGGGAAGTCCTATTAATCTTTTGGATCCCTTTTCTGTTTTTGAAGTAAAATGATGCTACTACTGTATGAAGAAGGCTTCCGGGTTGTCATTCACACTTCCAACATCATCCGCGAAGACTGGCACCAGAAGACCCAAGGGTTCGTAAGGGTGTTTGCTTCCTGCCAGTCATGGTTTGTGCTGAGAAAGGTCAAAAGCCAGAACATTCAATTTAGTATTTTGTTTTCTTTTTGTAGTTTTGTTTTTGTAGGGATTGTGTTTGTTTTGTTTTGTTTGTAGTGCTGGGAATCAAACCCAGGGCCATGCAAGCTCTCTACCACTGATTACATCCCAGTCACTGTGGGTTCTTTTGCTACAGATCCACCTCTATTGTACTCTCTTTGAAGGAGTCAGTGTTAAGAGTTTGGTACATCTCTATGTGTAAACATAACTGAGAAGTCATTCTGACTATGATGAGAAGCCACTGACGTTGTATGACCAAATTGTCTCATATACCCTGAGAACCACTCTGCTTAGCATGTGGAGATACATAGTGAGAAATTCCTTCTTCCTTTAGGCATGTGCATAGTGCATGGCCAGTAGAGATGTATCATTATGATCAGTTGTGTTCCTGAGTATTAAAGTTTTCTTTTTCCCCCCATTCTCCAGAATATGGTTGAGCCCCTTGTACCCACGACTTGATCCTGGAAGCCAGAAATCTGGAGAATCAAGAACACATTTTAAAGCTGACCTCATCAGTTACTTGATGGCTTATAATGCTCCTCCTCTCAAGGAATGGATAGATACCATCCGGGAGCACGATCTCTCTGAAACAAAGTACGCGTCCTCTTGCCAATCCCCACTGTAATGTTCACAAGTCTGCAGCTCAGGAGCCTTGGAAAGGGGTGGAGTAGCATTGGGTTGTCCTTCATGATGTGATGAGGGGAAGACAGCAGATTCATTCAGTGTCTGCTTCCTGTGAATCTCAGGCATTGAAAAGGCAGCCAGTGAATCTTTGTACCTTGAGCTTCCTGCTGGGGAACTCTAAATATAGTAAGTTCTTTGTCTGATCCCTTATACTTTGCATTCTGCCAAGTCTGGCTTGCACGAAAATAAGTATTGACAGTATCAGTTACAGTTGAGGAAGCATCACAAGGAAATGGATCTGCTTCTAGAAAAATTAGAAATTATATTAGTTCTTGTGTGTATTTCATAATTTTTTTAAGGTGCAAAACACATTACTATGGCCTATGTACAACTGGGGTTTTCTTTCTCTTTAAGTGTTTACCTTATTGGCTCAACCCCAGGACGTTTTCAAGGAAGTCAAAAAGATAACTGGGGACATTTTAAGCTTCGAAAGGTAAAACAACTCTTACTCTCAACATTTTTTAAAAATTTAATATGTATTCTTTCTCTTTTTTCCTTTATGATGGTGTATTTTGATGATAGTGATTTCACAGTATTTCCAATACAATTCTGTGGGAATAGAAGGCACTTAAGTTGATTGTCTAATTACAATTTTCAGTACTTTTTAATTTAGGGGTTTTTTTTTGCCTCTTTTATATATCTAAATATTATAAGTATATTACCTTTACTAGTTTTCACATTTTCTATAATAAAGATAGGGGCTTTCCATTCACAAATATTGTAGCTTTTGAGTGCTTAGCATATTAAGAATTTTTTAATGTGCCCATTAAACAAGAATACATAATAGTGTTGAGTAAATGTTGTAACTTAGCTATAAAAATTTCTGAAACCAGTGTCCTTAAAGAAACTAATTTTTAAAAATGACATTTGTTACTGGTATGAAAATGAGCAAAGATGGCTGGATGCAGTCCCAACACTCGGGAGACTGAGGCAGGAAAATCACTACAAGTTCCAGCCTAGTTTGGGCTACAAAGTGAGGTCAGGGCCACCCTGAGCTGCATAGAGAACCCCTGTCTCAAAAAGACAGAAAAGAAAGAGATAGAAAAGGAACAAAGAAAGTCTTTAACAAGATAAAATGAAAGTTTTCTTCATCTCTCTTTAGTTTCCTACCTTAATAAAATCCCGAAAATGACTTTCTTAAAAGCTTTACCTCTTAGTCCATTAATTATATTCAGATTAAGAATTTCTTGGTCCAGTACTTATACCAGAAGATTTGGCTTTCAGACTTTTTTCAGATTTTGGAATATTTGTATATATAGTTATTATAGACAGCTAAGTGAGATAGAAATTAAAAGCAGAGAGTATGATGGATTAAAAACTGGTGGTCAACTTAACACCACCTGGATTAAATCAGCATGTTGCTGAGTGTAGACAGCTCACCTGAGGAAACTTGCCAGCATAAATAGACTGGGAGAAGATGAGTGAAGTGTTGTGGGTTTCTCTAAGTGTTGCTGTTTTGAGCTGTTCGTTCGCCTGGAAGAGTTCAGGATGACTAGCCTCCCCAGTGTGAGTTTGATCATTGTCATCAGACGAGCTTGGGACCTTGTTGGTGAGAGTGGCTGTGGTGCACTTTTGGTGAGCTCTGGTCCTTACATCAAGCATTGCTTCCTGGCTCTGAAGGGGAAGCTGTGTGCTGTTTAATCTCTGGGAGAAACTTGTCATGCTGGCTTCCTGACATGTACTCGATTTTTTATTATCAGAGTAGCTTGGGACCTCCGTACCGCTGAGGATGGCTGTGGTACTTTTCAGGGCAACCTTGGTTCTTATTTTGAGCACGATTTCTTGGCTCCAGTGTAGAACCCTCACTACCAGCAGAGTTCCTTCACCCCGCTAGCATAGACTTTTCTAGCTTCCACTGCTGACCTTTGGGCCCTTCCAGCGTGGATCCATAAAACAGACCGGTATGAGTCCTTCTTGTGGGCTCTAGGCCTCCAGTTGGACTCGTGAGAGGCATTGTCATGGGCTCTAACTTTTCACCTAGACTCACGCAGGATATTGCTCTGGGATTTGGGCCATTGGCTAAGTATTCTGGGTCTTTAGTGTTGTGGACAGATTTCCTATACTTTTTTGTGTTTTACTCTGGGTGACCATCATAAAATAATATTATAAATGCTGTGTCCTGATTGCAGTTGTTCTCCTCACAACCCCTGACTATGACAGAGGGATCAGGTCCTTGAGGGAGTCAGTGCAAGGAGTGAGAGACAACAAATTTGCAGCCAGAAGTGAATTCGAAGACAACCGGACTGCAGGATGGAGGTGCTCTTGCCAGCCCTGCAAGCCTCCCTGGAGATAAACAGCAGCTTGAGATTATACTTTAATTAGACCTGCCTGTCTAGTGAGCCCCCACAATGCACCAGACACAGGCGGGTGACCAGAACACCCTGACCCCTGCTTTCATCCTTTTCCAGAGACACCTTCATTCTTCTATGTTAGAAGTTATAAATAAGCTAAAGTTAACGATGCTCGTCATACATCCTTGCTGCATGGCTCACTTTCCTATTGGATCAATATTAGTTAAGCAAATATACTTGTAATCCTATAGGTTGATTGTAGTTTGACCTATAATTACCAAATTATACTTTTGCTGTATAAAATATCCTTAGACAAAAACCCTCAGCAGCCAGCCACTTTCAGGACCTCTCCTGTTTCTCAGAAGCTTTCTTTCGATAAACTTTTTCTATTCTTGACCTCTTTGTCCTGAAGTCCATTCCTTTGTATCAGGAGACAAAAACTTGGCACAGGTGGGAAGCTACTTCTCCATGACATAACATAACGCGGTGTCTTTGGGTTGAGACCCAAGTCTAAACACAAAGTTCATTTGTTTTATATACACCTAAAACACATAACCTAAAAGTAACTTTGTAGAGTATTTTTAGTATGACTATTTTTATTGTGACTCATTATATGAAGGCAAGTATAATTTCTCACTGTGACGTAATCTTTGTGTTCAAAAAGTTTCAGGTTTTACAGCATTTTTGACTTTAGATTTTTGAATTTGGGATGGTCTACCTGTATGTTATGTAAAAATCTCCCTGTCACTAAAACATTTTCAATGTTTTTTTAAAATAAGCCCAGCAAGACCTTGGACAGCATTTGTATGGCTTGACCTAGACAAAGGATAGTTTTCCCTAGCCCTGTGCATCCTGATCTATTTTATATAAGCCTTGTGACCTCGACTTGTTTCTTAACCAGCCTCTTGTCCTCTATGAAATTGGCATATTAACTGTAACTTTCTCTCCCAGATTTGTTAGCATGGGTGATGGGGTTCAAGCCAGGTCTCTGGTTTCTTGTATGTGGTGATTATGGCATGTAATGTTAAGAAAAAGCAGCAGAGTTTTTTTTTGTTATTTTTTTGTCTTTTTCCTTTTTATCAGTACCAGGGATCGAACTCACGACTGTCTGCTTGCAAGGCAAGCGCTTATGCTGCTGAGCTAAATCCCCAGCCCCCAGCAGCAGAGTTTTAATCAACTGACAGTGTGCACAGAATGAGAAGGCACATGCCAGTGGACAATGTAGTAAATTGGCAAAAGTGCTTAAGGGGGATTGGATTTAAGAATTTAAAATGTTACACCAGATCTAGGGCATCTCACTTTGAATCTTTCAGGGCATGATTGACAATGTGATTGACAGGGTGCTGAGTGAGGTCAACTGTCTGCTGCGCATGACCTTTCCCATAATTACCTTAGTTATAATTGGATGTATGAGATGCAGCACATGTGCGTGAACCTTCAGTGAGCTCCAGGTTAGGAAAGATAACCGAAAGTCATGCTAACCCTGCATGCTTCCTGGTAGGAGACTTTGGAGTTTTCCAAGGCAAGCCTAGGGGTTTGTTCCCCCCACTACATCTCTGCCTCCAGGTAATAGGGCTTAGAAAAACATAGCGGGTTAGCCCCGGAGCATATGCTCAGGTGTAAGTGAGTGGAGGTGAGTGGTCCTATGACCCCATTTGTACTACCTGTGTTAGACTTGTGTGGAATTTAAATGAAACAGTGGACACAAAATAGGGCCAGACACATGGTAAGTATTCTTTAAGAGTGAGTGATTGTGGGCTAATGGTTTAGGCAGGCCAGGAGTGGTAAATATGCATGAGTGCAATCTTCCACAAAGCTGAATAGCATCTGGGGAGGATTCAGAAGACTTTTCACATGCTGTAGCAGCTTATTTTGAATCTCAGCTCCTTCCCCAGAAGGGCAAGAGGGTGATTTCCTTGCACTGAAGTATATCACAGCACAGGGCTCTGTTCAAGATCATGCAGTTTCTTAGGATTGAGCCCTGCCATGGAAACTGGCTCTGGTAATTACCAGTCCAGTTCTTTTTCCTACACTAGGCTGTAGGGAGATAGAAGTTGAGAACATTGGGCTTTTCAAGGTGTGTGTATAAATATTAATGTCCCAAGTTATGTTAAAGAAGATTATGCTTCTTAAATAAGTATGAGTCAGAACATGAGCTCCACTGGGGCAGAAGTCATGACTTACTGTATTTTTCTTGCCATCTCCAGCCTCTAGGTAAGCACTTGATACATCTTTAAGTGAATAAAACTTCTAGGTATTTTCTAAATTGCTTTTGTATCTCTGTGAATGACGTCACACCCACTTGCCCAGCTGTTTTGTCATGCCCTCTTCTCCTGCCTCAGTTTTTCTTAACATGTCTACTAAAATGAATCTTTTTGTTTCATATTTTAAAGAGAGTGAAAGCAGAGAGAGAGAGAGAATAAAACCAAACAAAATAAAGCAGAATAAAGCCAATCAAAACAAAACAGTGAAAGTGATGCAGGACTTCAAAACAAGATAGTAGGAAATCAACCGTAGTTACCATAATGCCTCTTGTTATCTTCAAAATTGCTGCCCATACTATCAGACATAATAAAATCAAACAACAGAACATTGAAGAAAGCAAAACAATAAAATGGAACAAAACAGAACAATATTGGATTTCAAAAATAAGATAGAAATCCTCCATAGTTGCTATATCGCATATTGTTTTCCTCTAAATAAATGCTCAGACTTCTGGCTTTAGGCCTGCAAAGTCAATCAGACAATACAAGAATTAAGTTGTTTCTGTACTGCAGTTACTGTCAACTCAGCCTGTGATCCTCCGAATTAGCCAGTTGCTTACCTGGGATTGCAGGGTTGGCTCTTCTTGTCTCCCAGCCTGCACACCAGCTGGCTCACAGGAAGGGCAAATTGGCTTCTTGTTTCTCTTTCCGGCCCCACATGGCCACTGCTGGCTCACGGGAGGAGCATTGGCTTCTCTTCTAGCCCTGCAGGCTGCTGCTAGCTCTCAGGAAGGGCGAATCAGCTTCTTCTAAGATGAATCGTTTTAATAATCAGTTTTTGATTCTTTTACTTCCTTTATGCAAATCTAAAGATCTTGGAAAGAAAAATGTCTGTGTCCATTAATCATGTTTTTAAAAATGTGTATTTTGAGTATTTAAAAAATATTTTCAAAAGGAGAAAAATATATGGATGTGAAATTCATTGCTAATATTTACAAATTTAGCTTTCCAAGAGCAGAAATTTATGCTTTTAGTTATCATGGTATTTCCTTTCATATTTTTTGAGTAACCATAGCAATCATTTTTATTCTTTGACAGCTTTTGAAAGAACATGGTACACCCGTACCTAAAACCGAATGCTGGCCTCTAGTGGGTCAGTTTTCAAGCATTGGCTCTTTGGGAGCTGATGAATCTAAATGGTTATGTTCAGAGTTCAAAGAGAGCTTGCTGACGCTGGGACCAGAAAACAAAATTCCAGGGAAAAGCTCTGTTCCTCTTCATTTGGTGAGTTTTCTTCTTGTCTTGTCTTGTCTTGTTTGCTTTTTGAGGTTGCATCTTGATACTTAGTTCAGATTGGCTTTGAATTCACTGTGTAGCCTGGGTGAGCCTGAAGTCATGGCAGTCCTCCTGCTTCAGCCAGAGTACTCGGGCTGCAGGCATTTGCCACCAAGCCCTAGTTTTTTTCTTTCTCAAGTTAATTTATTTTTATTCCCCAGTCCAGGAGAATAAAGAATCTCTTTATAGTGAGAGTTGCTCTATTCTGTGTTTTTATTTGGGGAAGGGGTAGAAAAACAGTATGTTATTATCATTTGTGGGCAGTTAGCCTTAATATGGTCCAATACAGGGAGCTTGGTTTAATTAGGAGCTGCATTTCATCCACAGACTCTTTTGAGATTTTCCATTCTTTTTTTCAGGCTGTCAAGCCAAGGAAAAATATTTGGTGTAACATTGCCAACAGAATTATAAGCACTATTAAATATTTAGAGACCTATGAATTAATGATTAATTTCATATTTGATTTGATGTTAATTTGAGATTTCAGGGGAAAAATATTCAAATTAGTATACTATTTCATCAAATACATACATATATATATATATATATATATACGCATCCTGTAGTTAATTTTTTTTTCCACTAAGTTGGGAACTTTTTAAATTTTAAAATATATTTTCTAAGTTTTTAAACAAAGCATTTTTTTTCACATGGAGATTTATAGCAGCCTTACTTTTAATTGCCAAAATCAAAAATAGCGAAGATGTCTTGCAATAGATAAATAAGTAAAATGCTATATTCATCCAGTGGGATGTGAGTGATAAAAGAAACGAACTATCAAACATCAAAAGCCACGTGCGTGTTAATAAAATAAGTCAATCTGTAAATGCAACATAAAGTATGAGTTAACTATGTGACATTGAAAAGTTTAGTTTTAATTGAGATTTCCATTTTTGTAAAAGTTGGCCATCATTCCTTTTTCAACATGTTATATTACAAGCTTTATTGTTTTCTCTTTTCCTGCTTATTTTTAGATCTACCCTTCTGTGGAAAATGTGCGAACCAGCTTAGAAGGATATCCCGGTAATTGTCAGGAAATCTGTCTCAGTTGTGGTTTTTGTGTTGATTCCATAAATTCCCTGGTAGAATTTTCACAAGTATTAAAATCTTGCTAGAGAGCGTTGATTAGAAATGTAGAGAAGCTTTCTCTTCGTTGGACAGGGCCCATGAAAATAGGTAATGGTGAGTTCTGCTGTGTCGTGAAGATCATACCACTCTGCTAGGCAACTAGAGTGTGACAATCTTCACAGTAACTCTGTGCACAGTTCTCATTCTTACCAGCAAGGTGTCCAGTGAGTCAGTTATCTAGACAAGATGTTCAAATAAAATCATCCTCCCCTAGGACTTGGAGCCTTCCCAGAGCATGTCTAACGTACCTTTAAATCCTTGGAATTTGAATACCTCATACAAGTATATTTAAGTTCTGGAATTTATGCTTAATGTTGCCTTTGATAAAACTTAGTTGATGTGTACACTCTTTCAAGGGCTTTCTCTGAAAACACCTTAGTAGCAGTTTGTAAACATTGATCAGCCCTGTTCTCCGCTTCCTTATCCCAGTAGAAGTGCTGACTGTTATGCAGAATTCACAGCACTGTTTGTAGTGCAGTCGAGAAGGACTAGGCAAAACCCAGAGAGTCTCTGCCTCCAGAAAAAACAAAGTCTGATTGGTGTTCATTGATGGTTGAAAGGACAATGCACTGAATTAAGACTAATTTAGTCCATTTATTGATTATCAAACTAGATGTGACCTTGCCAGGAAAAAAAAAAATCTCAAAATTTAGAATGTATTAAATATTTGCTGCTTCTTAATGGCAACAATAAAATTATTTCACTGTGACTCTGGGACATGATGGGTTTTCTTGTGTCATCTTGCTGTATCTCTAATAGGCTAGATTCATTCAAAGTACACTTCTTAATGAAGTGCCTGAGCTTTTCAATAAGACTTGTAATACTAGTTCTAAATGGACTGTTTTTAGTTATTTGCAGTAGGAGTCAGGACATGCCCTATTCAGTATCAGAGTTGCTTAAAGCCCTCCTTGAATGTAGATTACCACAGAGAGGTTCCAATGTGTGTTTGGAAAGTTGCTGGTGAATCTACAATAAAGTCTTTTTCCTTTCAAAGATGCACAAAAATTAGCTTCTAATCGTGTCTTTATTCTCTTAGATCTCTTAGATTCCTACCTTACTGAGCATTTTAATTTATTTTCCAATCGTTCTCATGTGTAAGAGGCTGTTTAGCTAGTGCAAAGCCTGTTGGAATAGAGAAATGGTAAAGCAAAGTACGCGGGAGAACTGGGTGTTGGTCATAGACAGCCTCCCCAGGGCTGCTGGGTCTTGAGCAAGAGCCAGTGACCTGCCTGCCAGGGGATGGTAGGACAGGCCAGGAGGTTTCCTGTATCCTTTCCTAACACTTCAAATCTGTGTAGAGTTTAGATTGTGACCACTGAGGGATTTTAACAAATACCTTTTCTTTTCAGCTGGTGAACCTTTACTATTTAAAAAATGTTTGTTGTCTAAAGAAAGGAAACCCCACTAAGATTATGTACCTAACACAAGAGTAGACACTTTCTCTCCAGTCATTATCCCATAATATGAAATAATGAAAGTAGTTGCTTTTCATTTGCCTTCTCGCTGCTTATTTAATGAGAAAGCTTCAAATTATGTTCCATTATTTTATTTGGTTTATTTTTCTTCTTTTAAAAGCTGGGGGCTCTCTTCCCTATAGCATCCAGACAGCTGAGAAACAGAAATGGCTACATTCCTACTTTCAGTAAGTAATTGGTTTAGAATGCTGCTATTACTTCTTTAGAAAAAAGAATGCTATTTCTGTCAATCTGTTTTTTTAAAAAGAACCTTATATAATACAGATATATCCTTTCATCTACATATGTTAGTGATAGAAATAATTTAAAACAAGGTTTTAACTTTTTTTGGAATAGGTTTTTAATACCAAAGAGTAAAATTTATCTCCATAAGGTTTCTATTTAAATATGGGCGTGCAAAGAAAAAGATAAATAAAAGACCATGTTGGATGATTTCTGATTTTCATAAATACCATTTTGGTTCACTTTGCTAAAATACAGAATGTTACTAATTCTGGCAGTGTGGTGATAACGGTGTGTGGCTGCAAGCCTGTGAGGACAGAGCCCGTCCCACCGTCTCCCTGTAGTAGATGGTTAACAACGGGAAAAGGTGAAGCAATCGGCCAGTCTAGTCTCATGCCTGCTGCAGCAGGTACCTGTCATACTGCATAACCAGAAACAAAGGCAGGGCTGCATTTCTATAGCTCCCAGCTGCAGGCTCAGTGTGTCATGCTGGAACCTGTCCCCTCCTCTCCCCCCACCCCACCCAGTACTTTCTGGGGAAATGATTTCTTTATGTTGAGCTCCTTTCAGTATCACATGACTAAATTTGCTTGAAGAAAGCAAGTGATGAACCTACTTAATCCTGATTCTGTTGTTCCAAACCAGATTTGGAGGGCGCATCCTGTTCAATTGATAAGTAGAGAGCCAGGAACATAGATAGCACAGTGGCAGAGCACTTAACTAGCGCATGTGAGGCTCTGGGCTCGATCCTTAGAATGACAATCAATTAAGAATTTATATTGGTACATGTTTATAGTACATAGTGATTACATTCATCATGGGGAGTTGGTACATGCACATAACACATCTTAGTTCTTTTTCACATCTTCTTACCGTAACTCCCTTGATCTCTTGGTCCCCTTCCCACTTACAAATGATCATCTCCCTGAATAAATAAAAGCATAATTACAATCATTATTTCATCCCCTTTTATACCCATACATAGAACCTTAATTTTACATCGTTAGAAACTTACAAACAAGACTCTAAGCTAAAACTAAAGCATTCTTAAATTATCCCTTCACTTTTCAACACTCATTTGTGATTTTTTCCCTCTTTATATTTGTTTCATTCAACAAGCTTTTACAGAGCCCGTGCTAATTAGTGTACCGTGGGCTGTGACTTGTGCCTTCAGGAGCCCACAGAGCAGGAACAGGCACTTGCACAGATGGGGATAAAAGCATGATGAAATACAGGCATTCACCACCATGCCTCGCCATACTGGTTTTTACATTCCAGGATTTTGCTTTTCATGCAGTTCCCTAGTTGTTAGGATTGTGACTAATTTGTATGATTTTCTAACCAGTGACTTCTGTCTTTCTGTCACTAGCAAGTGGTCGGCGGAGACATCTGGCCGCAGCAATGCCATGCCCCACATCAAGACTTACATGAGGCCCTCTCCAGACTTCAGCAGAATCGCCTGGTTCCTTGTCACAAGGTAAATGGTTTCTATATTCTTGACAGGAGAAAATTTTAAAATATATTGTAACCTCTGCTCTGAATTTCGATTGATCTCTAAAAAGTAGTCCGTGGCTTGACTTTTGTTAGTTGTCAGCCTGTTGGTGTCACATGAGCCTTGTCTAAAGGAGGCTCATAGCTAATAGGAGATGTGCCTGGGTTTTCTTGTAAGTCTAGATGTTGATAAAATTTACACACACTTTGCATTTGCTTTCAGTTATGTTATATTTTAACCAGCAGGGTTAAGCATTTAGAATACCAGCATGTTACCAGCATATGTTATATTTTAACCAGCAGGGTTGACATTTAGAATAAATAAAGAAGAGAAATGAGATATTACAATTAGTAATATCATCTTCTTGGGGGCTGGGGGGTTTAGCTCAGTGGCAAGCACCAGGTTAAAAGTTTGATCCTTGGTACCAAAAAAAAAAAAAAAAAAAAAAAAATTAGCAATTTTTCCTTTATTATTTTCTTCTTAGGTAGAGCAATCAGATCTCTTGAGTCTTTTTTTAAAACACCATTATTAAGAAACAATTTGCATACCATGAAATTTACCCAATTAAAGTCTATAATACTTTAGTACATTCATAGAATTGTGTGCAACCATCACCATCATTTAATTTTCTTTTAGTTTTTTGAAACAGTGTCTTGCTCTGTAGTTTGGGTTGGCCTTGAATTCACTATGTAGTCTAGGCTGGCCTTGAATTCTCAGTGATCCTTCTGCCTCAGCCTCCTGAGTATTGGGATTATAAGTGTGTGCCATCACACCTGGCACCATTGTCTTAACTATAAAATATTTTCATCACCCCTGTAAGAAACCCCCTACCCACTGTCATTTTTGTGTCTGTTTTTATAAGAGGATAAATTGTTTTTCCTTTGAACCTTAATTCCTGATTCCTAGTTTGAACTCGACCACTGAGTCTCTTCATGATTCAGTAACATAATTGAAACCGGGCATGGTGGCTCACACCTGTAATCCTAGCACTCAGGAAAGTAGCCTTGAACTCACCAAGTAACTGAGGCTGGACTCAAACTATAGGCTATCCTCCTGCCTCAGCCTCCAGAGTGCTGGGATTATAGGTATGTGCCACGACACCTGGCTGAAACTTTTACTTCTAAAAACAAAGGTTTCCTGCATGTGAAAGCCTGATCTGGAGATTCCCTGTATAGGGAAGTCATTGCCTGAAGCAGTTACAAAGTATCAGGACAGTTATTATAAATGCTGCTAAAATGATGAGAAATTCTATCTTAATGCCAGTGCTACCCAGCCTGTACTAAGTTAACCAACAATACGAGGAGCCTGGACAGTCTAAGACCACATTTCAATGTCACCTCAACATTTGTCCAGTAATTGTCCTTTTAAACCAAGTTACTGAAACCCAAGTAAAAGAAAACAAACCAAAACAATTGGCTTTTGAGCTAGGCTGTATGTGACCTTCACTGACCATATATATACTCAACTAAGTTAATAGAACGAGGTAAAATAACCTGCCTGCTGCCAACCCTGAAATACTTGAGGGACATTTTCTAAATAGGAAAATATCACGCACCCTCTAAGGGTCTGTTGTTGGTGTTATGCCAATACTTCAAATGATGTGACATTTTCCCCAGTCAGGTATGACAGCATTTTCTAGCTGAAACTATTCACGTGTATAAATGTTGAATTGAATTTGAAGACTATTTCTAACTTTAAAATCCTCTTACCTATTAACTTAGCTATCTGGTTTTTCCCCCGAATGCAGTAAGAGCATTATAGAAAAATGTCAATTATCTGGTAAAAACTGTCTTATCTAGCACCTTTTTTTTTCCTACTGGGAATACTGGAGCCCAAGAAGATTAAATGAACTGTCTAAGACCATATCCACACAGAGAGGTGACAAGGAGGTTTTGTTTTTGTTTAGGAGGTGGAGTCAGCCTTTTCTCCTGGGTATAAATGGGTATTTAAGTCCTTTTTATGAGTTTTCATTGTTGGTCTCTGGAGTTTGCTTAAGATGAAAATTTAGTTGCTGGGGTTCTGAAGAGAGCTTATTTGGAAGGACAGTTCTCTTACGTCAGTATGGTGCAAGACTTTTAAGAGAAACAACAAAAAGTGTGTGTGCGTGTGCATGTGTGTGTGTGTGTGTGTGTGTCTTATTAAGAGAGAGGGGATTTTGATTTTAAGGAACTGACTCATGTTATTGTGAGGAATTCCCAGTCCAAAATTCATAGGGTTTGATAACTTGGATTTGTTAGAAGTTTAGATGTGTTTGTAAGGCTTGATGCTGCAATCTTGAATCTCCTCCTACAGTACTGGAAAAGTTGAATGTAATGTATTTAGAGATTGTTTTCTTACAAACTGGAATTTAAAAAATGATGCAGTTCACAGAAATTGCATTAGTGTTAATGATTAAGGTTATTAATGGGAACTGAGATTACCGTAGCAGTGTGAATAACCCTTTTCTTTTTCTTTTTCTTTTTTTTTTTTTTTTTGTGTGTTTCAAAAGCACTACATTTATTTAGACTTTGGCACCCACATTCAAAATCAAACATAAAGAAAACTTTCAAAGCATAAAGTATTTTTGCCATAATTAAATTAGTATTTGCAAAAATCATTTTCTCTTGTTGATATGTTTTCTTAATCAAAAGACTTAATATCATGACAAAACACATCACTTATCAGAACCAGCATGATCTTCTGATAACAAACACATTCTTTTTTACTTAATGGCAACTGCAGTTTAGAATATTAGAGGATTACTGGACAAAACAAGTTACAAAAATCATAGTTTCTGTCTCCTAGGCCTGGTATATAATATAGATAAGACATACTAATTTTTTCACAAATTTGCTTTTTAAAAATTTAATTAATAAAACCTGATTAAATTTTCGAATGAGATAGGAAGAATTTGAGCACCCAAATGATCCCATCTTTAGGAATAACCCTTTTCTAAAGGCGACATTTTTGTAGTCCAGTTTAGGGACAGCTGCTGCTTGATCCTGGGGACACACAGTCTGAGAGGGTGTGACACAGCCTGGCTGTGATCCTGTGTGAGGCCCATAGGGAAAGCCCTGCTAGAGATGTATTCCTAGTTGGGGCAGGTAAGGGAGAGAAAAGCCAAAGCTGAATAAACAGGAGGTATTGTGGGGGCCTGGAAGGTGCCAAGGAACAAAGCTGGTGGGTTAATGGGGATTCAGGCAGAGCAGCTAGCGGGCACAAAGGTGGCATGGCGGGACAATGGGTGGGCAGTGCATGACATCCTTCAAGGGAATACTGAGTGATTCTGTGCAGCTATGTTTTTTTTTACAAAGGTGATTCAGATAGATTTAGAATGGATTTTCTAAAACAAGAGTATGTGTGTTCTCACAGTTAAACTGAAAAGCACCCATTGTTAATTTGTCACTTGAGGTCTGTTGGTTGTTTCATACTGTGTGAATGCCTGCTTCAATATCAACTGGCTGCTACTAAATTAAATTAATTATAACTTCAAAGTTCATTTACGAATTTGAAGGTTGTCATTATGGAATTGCAGCTTCTAATTTTATTCTGAAATAACTACAGACTATACCTACTTGCCAAAGCATTTAAAGAATAATAGCAGCAACATTCATTGGGTGATTCCGATATGCCAGGCACTTTCCTAAGCATTTTGTATGAATCCCTTCACTCAGTGCTCTTAGCATCTGTGCTCAGAGGCACAGAATGAGATACTGTCACCCAGATGGTTTTGGTGAAGCCCAGAAGTGACCCGAGGATTGGGCTCCACAGCTGATGCTTTTATCTCTTTGGTCCTTGCCCTCTTAATTAAAATAGAGTTGCAGCATACCTACTTCCTGCAAAGTTCAAAAGAAACTACTACATTTACTCAGTTGTATAAAAAAGGAAAAAAGGCACAAAGTATTCCATAATCACTAATGGATTCCTAAGAAACATAAAAAACAACTCAGAAAGCCTTTGGAATCCATTCTGTCAGCCCTTCTATACAAGAGAAAGTATAGACCCCAAATATAAGTGGTATCTGCCAGTGAGTGACTCTTGATCATCTCGGGTTTGTCTTTGTTTTGTCTTGGTGTTTTTGTTGTTGTCACCTAATCTCAAAGTCAGAACGTTCCCAATATGAGTTCATCTTGTATATAAAGTATTTTATTTGTTTGTCTAATTTTCCCCTCCAGCATCTTTCTTTGCCCTGTGGCACCTGCGTAGTCTCATCATCAGACTCAAAACCCAGATCTCTCCCATTCCTTTTCCTTCTTTAGAACATTCCACACATACAGCACTTACTGAGCTTCTCCTATGATGCTAACCACTCAGGAAAACAGTCAGAAGATACGGCTGTTGCCTTTGAGATGCTCACAGTCTGAGACATGAGAAGCCAGACCAAGAGATAGATCATTGCAATCATGAAAGTCCACTTTTGTGCTTGAGATGGGCACAGGGCTGCTTTGGAGGTGACTATGCAGACCTTGAAGTGCCTCAGACTTGTTTCTAATCCTAGCAATTGTCAGGCCAGAAATTTATCACCTGGGCTTCAGCAGTGGTCTGCCATCTGCCATCCCAATGCGTGGTCTTCCTCTTCCGGGCAACCTGTCCTATTTGCCGATTCCCATTCATCTTCCTGAAAGACAGACCTCCCTCATTTCCCAGTGTTCAGAACCCCAACATGCTACAGCCTGTAAAGTTCAGATTCCTGAGTTTGGCATTTAAACCCTAGCCATACGATTTCCATATTCTTACCAGTATTTCCCAAAATGAACTTCTAGAAGCAGCCAGGCTGGCCTCCTTCATCCCCAAAATCATCCTCCCAGCAGCCTGTATGCTTCCCTCTCCTTATCCCTTCATCATTTCTCTCTGCTTCTAAGGGCCATCCATGCTCAGCCCCATCTCTTCCTGGAGGCTCTTCCAGCTTCTGCTGGCCCCTTCTTTCCCAAGGTTCTTAAAGTACTTGTAGCCTGCTACAAGCCTGGGTGCCTAGAGCACTACTGTGTCTGATCTTGTGGAAGAGA